TCTGGTGCTGCGGGTGCTGGAGGTGCTGGCGGAGCTCCGCCGTCGCGACTGTTCTTCGCTCCACCGTCGCCGTCGGCTTTGCCACCGCCTGACACGGTGCTTCGCTAGGTTCTTTCCCTCCCTTCTTCCACTGGCCTTCCCCTCCAGCCTGGCTCCCCCCTCCCTGCTCCTGTGCCTTACACTGCACAGCCGGACTCGCTTACGGAGCGTCGTGAGCCTGTGTCTCGTCCTGCCTCGCCTGTTCGCGCTGCTCGCACTGCTCGTACTGCGCGCACTGGTCCCACTGGTCGTCGTGTCGCGCGTCCGCGTCCTCCTCCTGTTCCTGGCACGCACATTATGGCCCTTCGTCCTTCCACTGGTCCACAGCGTGTCCCCCTACCGTCTCCTCCTGCGTCTTCTCTTCCTGACGTTCCCGACCCTGAGTCTGACAGTGTTCGTGCTGCCCACCCTACTGTTACCCGTCTTCTCGCCACTGTTGTCACTGACCCGTCTTTTGAGTCTGCTGCTGCGTCTGCCCTGGTCGCTGAGCTTGTCGACTTTGCTGCTGCCTGTCGTCTAGACTACGCCGCCAGTCTTGTTGCTGAGTCTGAGTCTGTCAGTCCTCCGTCCGTCGGGGGTGAGTGTGCTCTTGGCACGGACGTCCTTGAGGACAGGCAGGAGGACCTTGACTCTCTTGCGGCTGCTGTACCTCATCTCGTGGCCTGGCTGCTTGCCCCTGAGGGAGACCCGGATGCACTAGACATCCCCACTCCGCGCTCTTACGCAGAGGCGATCTCGGGCCCCTACTCCTCTCAGTGGCAGGCAGCCATGGACGCAGAGATGGCATCCTGGAAGTCCACAGGCACCTACGTTGACGAGGTTCCCCCTCCTGGGGCAAACATCGTCGATGGCATGTGGATTTTCAGGGTGAAGCGGCCGCCAGGTTCTCCACCTGTCTTCAAGGCTTGTTACGTTGCTAGAGGCTTCAGTCAGCGTCAGGGGGTTGACTTCTTCCAGACCTTCTCCCCCACCCCGAAGATGACCACTCTTCGGGTTCTGCTGCACGTTGCCGCTCAGCGTGACTACGAGCTTCACTCTCTTGACTTCAGCACAGCGTTCTTGCAGGGCAGCCTGCACGAGGAGATCTGGCTGCGCCGCCCACCTGGCTTTACTGGGTCGTTCCCTCCTTGTACCCAGTGGAGCCTCCGGCGGCCAGTCTACGGTCTCCGCCAGGCGCCACGCGAGTGGCACGACACACTGAGGACTACACTTGCGGCCCTTGGGTTTGCTCCTTCCACTGCTGACCCGTCACTGTTCCTGCGCACAGACACGTCGCTGCCGCCGTTCTACATCCTCGTGTACGTCGACGACTTGGTCTTTGCTACTGCTGACACTGAGGCTCTCGCTCTAGTGAAGTCGGAGCTGCAGAAGAGACACACGTGCACTGACCTGGGTGAGCTGCGTAGCTACCTTGGCTTGCAGATCACCCGGGACAGAGCACGCCGCACCATTACCCTGACTCAGTCACACATGGTGCAGCAGGTCCTTCAGCGCTTCGGCTTCCAGTTCTCCTCACCACAGGCCACACCTCTGGCTACCAGCCACTCGCTCTCAGCTCCACCTTCGGACGAGTCCGTAGAGCCGAGTGGCCCGTACCCAGAGCTTGTAGGCTGCCTCATGTACCTGATGACTTGCACGCGACCTGACCTCGCGTACCCTCTTAGCATCCTTGCTCGTTACGTTGCGCCTGGGAGACACAGGCGAGAGCACTGGGAGGCTGCTAAGAGGGTGCTGCGTTACTTGTGCAGTACATCAGGCATGGGGCTGGTGCTTGGAGGACGCGACAGAGTTGTCCTCACTGGTCACTCGGACGCTTCTTGGGTGGACGACCTGGCTACGCAGCGGTCGTCGCAGGGTTACACCTTCAGCCTTGGCTCTGGTTCTGTCTCGTGGCGGTCCACCCGCTCTTCCTCTGTTCTCAGCTCTAGTTGTGAGGCTGAGATCTACGCCACGGCCATGGCTGCACAGGAGTTACGCTGGCTCACCTACCTGCTGACTGACTTGGGAGAGCGGCCTAGTTCTCCTCCAGTTCTGTACGGCGACAACAAGGCGTCCCTTGCCTTGTGTCAGGAGCACAGACTGGAGCACAGGACGAAGCACATTGCTCTTCGCTACTTTCTTGCTCGAGAGCTGCAGCAGCGAGGTCAGCTTCGGCTTGTGTACGTGGACTCGAAGGCCAACACTGCTGATATCTTCACCAAGGCGCTCCCGCCTAGTGATCATCAGCGGCACTGTACTTCTTTAGGCCTTGTGTCCACATTCCCTCATTTGCTTACTGCTTGACTTTCTTTGTACTGTACTTTATATATATCTTTTTGCTTGCTTGCTAGGTTTTGATCACTGTGTTGCTTGTCTTGTACTATATCTAGCACTGCATGTGAACTGGCCTTGTGGCCTTTGCTTGTGCTCGGAGTGTGGTGACGTTGTGATCCACCCTGGGCTTGCGTTGCTTTGCTGGACTGGTCTTGTGACCCTTTGTTCTCCCCCACTTTGCCTATGGGGGTGTGTTAAATTGTAATGTCTTACATGTTGGTAGGCTGTAGTGGGGTAGCCAATATGGGGTACAACCCCAACTAGGGTTTGCTACTTGTACCCAACTGTTTCATTCAATGCACCATTCTTGCCTAGTCTTGTTGACATTTCCTCGACCCCCAAGCCCCCCCCGTTTCCCCTCGTCTCCCACCTCCCCCCTCACCATCCTCACTCCCCCTGTTTCCCTAGTTTAACAAAAAGGTGGGTCGTGCTCGTTTTGTGAACATCATACATACACTTGTTATCAAAAGCCCCATTCCAAACTCTGGCAACTGACAAGGGGAATTACTGACTGACACCACAAGATGGCATATGTCTGTGCAGTGGGTGCATGTACAGAGCAGCGAGACTCTGTCTGTTCCATCCCAATGTACGATACCAATGTTGCGATTGCTTGAAGATAGAAACTGGCAGTCTGGCAGCTTGGCAAATGTTGAAAACAATGAGCTGCACACCCAACCCAATATCAACACGCATTGACAGCACAACCGGCATCGACCCCTGCTACGTATCTCCAATATGACTGAATGACTTTTTTTGTCATGAAAATTCTGAAGCACAGATTGAATGTGCTTGAGTTGAGCCACATCTCACAACTACAGTCTTCCAACACGATCCGCTGTTACTGAGTCGATTGGCTTGGTTTTTGAACTGCCACCCAAACCTGCCTCTGTTGGAACGGTGGATAAGGCAGAAATGCCGCAGCAAGTACAAAAGAGAAAGAACAAGTGCAGTTGAGCGAAAACAGGAAGGCAGGTTAGACAGGGCAAGAAGACAAGGGAGGAGGAAGGGAAGGGCAGAGGTGGGGAAAGAAGGGAGCAAAGGTAAATCCCGGGCTGGGGAACAAGCAGCAGCAATGAGGTGTTTGACAGGCCAAGTAGGGAAAGAAGAATGCAGCACATGGGTGTTGGAGGGGGGCGGGGGAAGGGGATGGGATAAGGCAGGCAAGTACCTGGCTTTCGTTTCCTGCTGCGCCTGATCCGCTGTAGCCCCTCCCCCCTCCTCCCCCATGCCCCCCCCGCCGCCCTCCCCCTCTCCCCCTCTCACTCACTCGACCTGCAGCAACACACACACACAGATGCATGAAGTGGGGTGTGAGTTTTGAGTCGCCTCAACACACAAAAACAAAAGCATGGAGCGGGATGTGGGGGCGTTAAACTAAGTGTCTGAACGAGAAAGCTGATAATGTTAAGGAGAACAAAGGAATCAAGTCACTTCAACCGGATTTGTGCATACCTCCTCTGCCATAGTCACTGGCGCCCCTCCCTCTCCCTCCATACCCCCCTGCTCCTCCACCCCCTCTGCCCACAGCACCAGTGCCTGCTGCTACCGAGGAAAGAGCAGGCATGGTTGCTTCTGTGCCTCCTGATTGTGGCGTTGCTGCTGCTGCTGCTCCTCCTCCTCCTCCTGCTCCTCCTCCTCCTGCTCCTGCTCCTGCTGCTGCTGCTGCTGCTGCTGCTCCTCCTGCCCCTGCAGCTTTTGCTGCTGGTGCTGCTGATGCCGCAGCTGCACGCGCCGATGCGGCGCCAGCAGGGGCTGCAGAGGCGGAAGAAGAAGAAGGAGGAGCTGCAGCAGAGGCAGCTGCAGCACCAGCAGCACCAGCAGCACCAGCAGTAGTAGCAGCAGCTGCAGCACCACCACCAGTACCGCCTCCCCCAGACTGCCCTGCACCAGCACCTCCCCCTCCCACGTCTGGGCGTCGCCTGGGCGTCCACACGGGTCGGTCCGGCCGGTCTCGGTTCTTCAGCCTGCCTCGGCTGTCCCTTGCCTCCCTTGCAGCCCCACCCCCTGCTGCTGCTGTCCCTGCTCTTCCCCCTGCTGCTCCTTCTGCTTCCGCTGCGCCTGCTGCACTGGCAGAAGCAGCAGGAGTTTCAGCCTTGGTTGCAACTGCTGTTGCTTCACCTGTCCCTCTTCCTGCCCCTCCTTGTGTCTGCCGACCCTGCTGCACCTGCTGTGCCTGCTGCTGTGCCTGCTGCTGTGCTGCCTGCATGCCTCCTCCCCGCCCATACTGCCTCTGCTGTGGCTGCTGCTGCTTCTGCTGCTGCTGCGTCTGTTGCTGCTGCTGCTGCGCATGTGGCTGTGCGTGTTGCCGGGTGATGATCTTCACCCCTCCCGCCCGGCCAGAAGGCACTGCACGGATTGAGCCAGCACCAGCAGCAGCACCACCATCACCACCACCACCACCACCCGCTGCTGTGCTTGCTCCTGCAGCGGCTGCTGCCACACTGCCAGACGCACCCCCAGCCGTAGCACCCCCAGCTGTAGCAGTCGCAGCTGCAGTGTTGCCAACAGCTGTACCGGCTGCAGCAGACGTGACTGCGGCTGTGGCAGCAGCTGTAGCAGCAGGCGCGAGGGAGGAAGGGGAGGGAGTGGCCCGAGCGTCCCTGTGGGGGTCGCTGCTGTTGGTGCCTCCTCTCTTGCGCCGCAGATCAGCCGCGTGACGGCGCGACGAGCGTGACTGTAACGAGGGGCGTGTGGTGATATTGAGGGGATGCAAAGATGAGAATAAAGGGGGCATGAGATGATGATTATACAGACCATTCACTTGTTGGTTCAGGTGCTAAATCAGGTGCTTCTCAAGTGATGATTCAGATAGATCCTATGGCACATGTGCCTACGCAATACCTGGCTCGACTTACATGTGCTGCAGAAGAAACAACAGCTGAATCGGCCTTCTCCCTTGCACCACCTGAAGCACCACCTGAAGCACCACCTGAAGCACCACCTGCACCAGGTATGCCCGTCTCCCCCCCTCCTTTACCACCTCCCTCACCTCCTCCGCCCCTTCCCCCACTCCGCCCACCTGCACGTGCACCTCTTTCCCCTCTGCCTCCCCCCTTACCCCCTCCCCCTCCCCCACTCCCTCCCCCTCCCCCGCCCCCTCCCCCACCCCCACCCCCACGGCCTGTCCCACTGCCTGCAGCGGGGGCAGCATGAGTTCCCCCTGCGCCTACCCCCATCCTCCCCGCAGCCCCCCTCTCTCCCCCTGCACCCACAGGGCGAGTGGGTCTGCTGGTAACCACACGAGCCTGGGGGCCTGCCCGCGCATTGGCGCGCCTCTGGCACACATACTCCACCAGGGGCGTCAGCACTAGCGGCTCCTTCACTCCTGGAGAGGGGGGGAAGAGGGGGAAGGACAGGGAGAAGGGGGGAAAAGGAAGAGATGCGGGGAGGAAAGGCGCATTGGCATGCCTCTGATACACATACTCCACCATTGGCGTCAGCAACTATGTTGGCAGATACACTGTGGGGGGGGGGGGGGGGCGCGTATCGCGTATATACGCAAGCGTATATATGAAATATGTAAATACGCTTGGAAAACGCTAAAATACGTTCGGGCAGCCCGCGGGAAAAAAAAAATACTGAACAAGCAATCGTGACATTTGCGATGTCCGGATTTGTTTGCAATGTCGCGATATACGTTAGGTTAGACGTCGAACCTCGCGAACCCTGTCACTCAAATTTTGAACTCCATCTCTTCCCCCACCCTCAACCACACACCACCCCGCTCAACCCCCCTAACCCAACCACTCCCCGTTTTTCAACTTACTCTCATCTGTAGGTTCATAGCACTTGCGCACATCCGCAGTTGAGATCTCATTCTGGCCGACAACTAAACGGCAATCTTATTTAAAACCGGGGTGCACATTCACCTGGGTGGGCATCAGGGGTTATCCCTTGATCCCACATTACGGCCAAATTTGGCCTAAACCCCCAAATTTTCTGTTCCCCATCCTGAATGTGTACCCCGGTTTTAAATAGCTGCGCCTTAAAAGTATAAAATTCGTACTGAAGGACATGTCGGCCTCCCCGCCTCTCCTTCACGAATTGTTTTCCCTGCCCGCCCAGCGAATTTTCGCGTATCAGCAGTAAGCCAGCCATGGCGTACCGCGTATATACCCGGCGTATAGTACGCTAGCGTATTATACATGATACGCGTATTTGCCAACGCAGGTCAGCACTAGGGGCAAGTGTAGTGAGAGCACGGCGCAAACACCTGCAGCAGCGAATTAGGGAGCACGCACCTGCAGCAGCGAGTCAGCGAGCACGCACCTGCAGCAGCGGCCTTGGCAGCGTCTGCCTTCTCCAGCTGCACCTCTGCGCTCGGAAGGCTCTCCTCGCCCTGCTCCAGCGCCGCTAGGAACGCCACGTAGTCGGGGTCTGGGGGAGGCGGGGAGGTGGGGAGGGGAGGGGGATGGTGGGGGTGGAGGGGGTGGGGGAGATGAGGGGAAAAGAGTGGGACCCCCAGAGGCAAGGGAAGAAGCGGCTTGGAGAATTCGTTGAAGAGGGTGAGCGGGGCAGGAAGAGAGGGAATGGCAGAAAGAACGAGGGTATGCATCCTAGGGGGAGTGAAGGGGGGAGGGGAGGTGCCATGACAATACCAATGCTTGGTGGTAATGCAAACAAACTCATGAGACCTAAAATGTAGACACCCTTCAACACCTTTGGATAGAACGTCACCTTTCTCTATAGTTCCCTGCCTGGGGTCCTTTCTTTGCGCCTCCCGCGGAACTTTCTGCCAGGGCGCGTACTCCACTGTTGCCTGGAACTGCTGCCCTGCAATGCCAGCCAGGGGGTTGGATGGGGCAGGCGGAAGTTACATTTGAGTCGCCTCATAAAGAGCCAGCCTGAAAAACTTACCTCATCAATCAACATATATATAAATATATTTATATTTTAAAAAAACAACAACAACAACAACAACAACAACTTCTGGTACGCATTGGGACTTAACGGTCGTCTTCTTCTCATGCAATTTTGAGAAAATGTCCCCCTTCCTTACGTCTCACGTGAAATCAGACATAAGCTTTCCATGGCACATGACAGGAGACATACCCTTCTCGTTGACGAAGGTGTGGCCGTGAAAATCGGAGGAGAAAGCAAGCACGTCGTCAGGCGTGAAAAAGTTTATGTACGCCCTTGAGAGTGCCGCCTTCTTGGCCCTGCCATGGCAGAGGGGGAACGGAGGAATGCAAGAAAGTGAAGACATAGTTAGGCGTGAGAAAATTTATGTACGCCCTTGTGAGTGCCGTCTGCTTGGCCCTGCGGCGAGGTGATGCGAGGCGATGAGAGGAGATGCGAGGATATGCGAGGTTGTTTTTCAGAAATTCATAAGCAACTCCATTATGGCCGAGAAGATAATGGGAGAAAGGCGTTAAGACGCTACCCGGGGATGGAGGCAATTAAGAGAGGATGTGGAAATTGGCCTGGATAGCTGGGTGAAATATGGGTGTGTGGGTATGGAAACGTACGACGATTTTCCGGGGTAGAACATAACCCAGTTGTAGCGGCCTTGGTACTTCTTATTAAGCGCCTCGACGAATGCCTCCTCCTTAAGATTCGGCGGTAGCTTGCGCACCACCACTTTGGTCTTCTTCAGGGCATCCTTCATGATGGCTTCTCGATCACGGTAGGCCTATTTGGCAAAAAAAAATGGCCTCCTCCGACAATGAAACGGAACCGTTGACGGGGAAGCTGACTGAGCGAGTTCAGACGAGGGCGTTGACAGGAAGAGAAGGCAAAGGAACGACTCTTCACCACCTGTCGTTTCTAGCGCTGCTCTTCGCAGTAAGTGAGCTAGCGGCAGTGGCACTAATTTGCTTGCTGCGTGATGTGGATTAGGGAATGGCACAAACTGTATAATAACCTGGTGTTCAGTGAGAAGCAGTATAAGCAGATTCAAAATATTCATACCAGGGAAAGAGCTTGATCAAAACAAGACGCTAAAAACCGTGCGGTATGGCGGGGGAAGGTGGTCTGGGTTTGGAGGAGGGCTAAGCTCAACCAACCAATCAACGAGCAAGCCAAGCGTGGTTGGGGCTTGATTCGGCAACTTCGAGGTTCCAATACAGGTTCGAAACTGGTTTATATGAGATGGAAAAGGGTTGGGTGGGATGGATATAGTCTGTAATACTTTCACCCTCACCAAATTAGTTGTCGGTGAGAAGCTGAGCATTCGAGACCCCCTAGAAATTTCATCGTAATGGCGACCGCTGGTGTTGAGGCCAGCTGCCGCTGTGACGTTGGCAATTGCTGAGATGAGTCGAATTCAGCCATTTTCACTGCTACCTCACGCTCTCTCTCCCTCCCTCCCGTCTTTTGCGTCTGATTTGCGAGATTTCTACTGTGATACGAGGGCTCACCTAATGAATGGTTCTCGCAAATTCGCTGCAGATTCTAGTAGTGCTGGACATGCGAGTCACACGATTTTTCGAACACTCATTGTGCGGATTAGCAATAACTTAATATTGCCATCTCTCACTGTACTTGCTAGTTCTGCTGGACACACGTGAATAATTAGTCTCTCAAGCCATAGGTTGGTAATCACAAGCTGGGTTGGAACTATGGACTTCTCTCGCTGCAGGTTGTACTTCTACTGGCATTACTAAGACTTGTAGGTCGGACCTGCAAGTCACACGGAAATTTTCGAGAGCTCAAGCTGCGAATTAGCAATCAAAGCCGGTCAATATGGCGACCGTTGTCATGCCCATCCATTCATATACGTGGATCTTCGTGGTGACCCTGATATTCTCCCTCCTCGACGGCTATGCCATCGGTGAGCATGCAACGCGTCTCTGTTTAAGATTGTCCGTTACCACTTTCGGTCGCTTCTTCTGCCACGACTACAAACTGCCTTCTCATTCGTCGCAACGGCTGTCGCAGGTGCGAACGACGTCGCCAATGCCTTCGCCACGTCGGTCGGATCGCGGTCGCTCACCCTCAAGCAAGCCATCTGCATCGCCTTCTTCACTGAATTCGGAGGAGCGGTTGCTCTCGGCGCTACGACGGCCAAAACAGTCAAGGACGACATTATCGACATCAACATGTTCAGCAGTCGGCCAGACCTTTTAATGTCAGGCTTCATGTGCGCGCTAATAGCGTCCTCGGCATGGGTCATGACCGCGTCTATTCTAGGCTTCCCCCTTTCTACCACGCACTCTATCATCGGTGCGCTTATCGGAGTTGGCATTAGCGCGTACGGCAAGGACGCGGTGAACTGGGGATGGGAGGGTAGGGGAGTAGCACAGATCGCAACGTCCTGGGTCCTAGCGCCTTGCCTAGCAGGCGTCCTCGCAGCAGCGGTTTACACAATCACACTCTACGCTGTCATGAATCGAAGAAACTCCCTCCGAGCAGGAATCTGGGCCGTTCCTTTATACTTCACGATTACCAGCTTCATCGTCAGTTTCTACGTCATCTCCCGAAACAGCCGGTGGGGATTTCTCGGTGAAGAGGGTGTACATAACAGCAGCAACATCGGCTTGACGTTTGCCATCACAGGGACTATCACAGGCGCGACTCTCATCTTGTCCGTTGGATTCCTCGTTCCGTTCTTCATCCGACGGCTGGAGAATGAGGAGAGTCTCAGGTGGTACCACGTGTTCTGCATCCACTGGCTGCCAGAGCAGCCGCACGACACCAAGATCGACACATACTTGAAACGAACCTTCACCCCACAGCTGCTGAACGATGACGAAAGAACAGAGCTCGGGATGCCTGCAGAGGACGAGGAGGAGGAAGAGGAGCGCAAGGAGGAGCGGTGGGAGCGACAAAAAAACCAGCACAAAAACCTTGCGGTGCGACTCGCACACCACATCAAATGGCTGCTGCTGCGCACTCTCTACATCGATATCGTGTCAGTGCAGCGGCAGAACCGGGGGGCAGTGCGTGCGCATGAGGTGGCAATTCTGTACGACAACAAGACAGAGTACCTCTACTCGCTCCTGCAGGTGGTGACAGCCTCCTTTGCCAGCTTCTCCCATGGCTCGAACGATGTTGCCGGCTCGCTGGGGCCCATGGCAGGGGTGTACCAGCTCTGGGAGACTGGCACATTTTCCACCCATGCCAGCATACCATACTGGATGCTGGTCAATGCCGGGATAATGATCGACCTCGGCCTTGCCCTCTGTAAGCCTGCTGCGTTTCCTGCTGCATGTTCTGCATATTCCCCTGCATGTTCTGCATACCCCCCTGCATGTCCTGCTGCACGTCCTGCTGCATATCCTCTTGAATGCCTGCTCAAACATTGTAACTGTTCTCTGCTGCTTCCTTGTCTCCTTTCGCCCTAGCCTACATGTGCCATCGCCCCTTGGCCTTACACTCCTCTTCATTGCACCTTCCTCTCATCTTGGTCCGCTCTCGCTTCCCTGGCCCCCAATTCCACCTCTCCCTACCCATCGAGACATGTGCAGCACAATGCGCAACCTGGGCAACACCACGTACCTCCTTTTTCCGAGGCGCCTCAAAACAGCACACAACGATAGCATTTCTCAGTCGCCTAACAGAAGCTCTCTCCCCCCCCCCCCCCCCCCCCCCCCCCCCCCCCTTCCCTCCCAACCATCCAGACGGGTACAACATAATGCGCAACCTAGGCAACAACATCACGTACCACTCGCCCTCCCGCGGCTTCTGCATGGAACTAGGCACGGCCCTCGCAGTGCTCACTGCCTCCTTCCTCGCACTGCCCGTCTCCACCACCCAGTGCATCGTGGGTGCCACAGTGGCCGTGGGGCTGTGCAACGGCAAGTGGAGAGCCATCAACTGGGGCATGGTGGCCATTGCTGGGTTTGGCTGGGTCATCACTCTCCCTGTCGCCGGTACTGCCGCTGGGCTGCTCTACGCGGTTCTCACTCGTGGCCCCAGCTTCACCTTGCCACCCTCGCAGTGATCAACCCTCCTCTCTACCCGTCTCAGCAACAGCAAGTGGAGAGCCATCAACTGGGGCATGGTGGCCATTGCTGGCTTTGGCTGGGTCATCACTCTCCCTGTCGCCGGTACTGCCGCTGGGGTGCTCTACACACTGCTGACTCGCTCCCCCCTTCACCTTGCCTCCCGAGGCTTACGCTTGGACCAGAGCTGCTCCTCTGGCATATGTTTTGAGTTTGGCCTTGCTGGCCATGTATAGTACACTCTTGGCACTAATTTGGCTACTAAATGTACAGTTGTCATATACGACTACTAACATGGTCCAGCATGATAACGCAACAAGATTCCACAATGGCAGGGCCTCCACATTCAAGATCCAACACACAGCCCCAGCAACACACCAATAGCCACCACCTCCTGTCTCCCCTTCAGCCAGCCAGCCAGGGCCAGGCCTGAGGCCGCCACCACCACCACCACCACCACCCCCTGCACTGCGCAAGAAACTCTCAGCTCCCACTCCTGCCTGGCTTCTTCTGGACGTGCCTTTCACCGCACAGTCAGTGCCATGCGGCCACAAACACAGTGGGAGTGCCTCGCCACCTGAGCTCCGCCGATGCCCCAAACCACCTCTCATCCACCTTCAGCTCAAACCGCCCATCTCTTCCCTCCGTAACCGCGCGCATCGCACTCACCGTCTCCGCATGCAGCGGCTTCGGCCGGAACCCTGCTGCCTCCATTCTTTTCCTCCACTGCTCCAGCCGCTCGGTCCTGAGCCACCGGTGCGTGCCCTCGCAGGCAACACTGTTCACCATGTCGTGCGCCAGAAACGCCTCGCAGGCCTGCCGCGGCGCGGCGGAGTGCGGGAGGTTTGTGTCCAGGGACTCAACGATCGCTGCGAAGTTGCGCGCAGCGTTCTGGAAGCGAGGGAGGAAGAAGGGCCCGTTGGCATCCGAGTCAAGATCGATGTGCAGGAAGAGGAGTGGAGAGAGGTCGAAAATCCACTTGAGAAGGGCGTTTCGGGGGTTTGATCGCAGGACTGAGTCGTCTGGGAAAAGGTGGAGGGACCATTTGCCTAGCACCACTACCTCCTCCCCTTCCTCCACTTCCACCATTGACGGATGGAAATCCTCTGGAGCGGTTTCAACCCCCTGGAAGGTGAAAGGGAGGTCGAGCATCCGGGCCACTTGCTCCAGGTACCGGCCTCCCAGGTGGACCATTCCTGACCGTTGAGATGCGAGCTTCACTGTGTTGAAATCGACGGCTGTGATCTTGAGCAGCGGGGTGGGGGCCGATGGGTATGGTCGCTCCCATCCCCTGGTGCTGGTGCCTGTGTTGGCGTCTGCTGTTGCGGCAGGAGGTGCAGGGGAGGGAGCTGTGGAGGGGGGTGTTGCAGGGGACGTGGTCGCAGTTCTGTGTGGTCCTGCAGCAAAGGATGCTGCAGCAGATGATGCTGCAGCAGGGGGTGCAACAGGAGTGGGAGCTGCAGCAATAGGAGCAGCTAATCTGGTGGAGGGTGGGGAGTCCGAGGGAGTGACGGATGAAGCAGGGGAGGGAGAGGAGGAAGGAGCAGCAGCAGCATCATCACCACCAGCAGCAGCAACAGCAGCGGAAGCAGATGTGGAGCCCACTGCACTGATCCCCTGCCTGCAGCTGCTCACACCCGCTCCCCGCCCACTCTCGCCCCTGCCTTGGCTGCTGCTCCCAGCCTTCCCACTGCTGGCTGCGCCCGACTCGGTACCAGTTCCACTGCTGGCTCTCGTGCCAGTTTCAATACTAGGTGTGACTTCACATGGAACAGCTGCCGCCGCCGCCGCCGCAGCAGCAGCAGCAGCATCAGTAGCAGCAGGCACATTACCAGCGGCACCAGTAGCAGGAGCAGCAGCAGCAGCAGCCGCAGCACGGGCAGAGGACACGGTGGTGAGTTGGGAGAAGTGGGCGGAGAGGCGCATGAGGATGTTGACCCACTGTGGCCCGGGATAGAATCCCAGCGATATGATGTGCAGCCGCCGCCGCCGCACCCGACTCTTCCTGCTCGCACCTGCACTCCCTGCCTGCCCTGCTGCTGCTGCCTCTTCTGCTGCTCCTTCTGTCTCTGCTGCTGTTGCTGCTGCCGCTGCTGCTGCTGCAGAAGTTCCTGCAGCTGCTTCTGGTGCTGATGCAGCGGCATTACCGGGAGACTCTATGAAAGCTCGGGTTATCTCATGCACCTGTGCTGAATAGTTGTAATCCATAAAGGACGGCACGCTGTAAGCACTGTCGTGGCCCATCAGCTCCATGATGCCCTGGAAACAGCAAGAAGCAGCCAAGGAGAAAAGGATTAAGATCAAAAAACAGATGCGAGCATAATGAGCAAGGAGAAAGGATACCATTCACGAGTGTTCATGTCAGCGTTCATGTCAGCGTTCATGTCAGTTGACAAGTGCAGAAGACATTGAACTGCAGGAAAGACATACCATTACATGCGGAGAGTAGTACTCACCTCGGTAGAGAAGAATATTCACCTCTTCAGAAAGTAATAGACCTCGGCGGAGAGCATTACTGACCTCGGCGGAGCAAGCGCGAGGGCTGTTGAACTGCTGAATTGCGGTTCCGTCGGTGCGGGCCCGCAGCGCCTGGAGCGCATGGAAGGCAATGCGCTGCAGCGTGTCCCCCCCCGCTGCCGCCTCCCTCCGCACCTGCCGCATGAAGTGCCGCCACCGCACCTGGTGGGAGGAGAGATGCACACTTGAGAGCTTTTGAAATAACGCACCTGCCACATGCACTGCCACCACCGCACCTGGTAGTGAGAGGGGTCAGTTCTGAGAGCTCAGGGAAATGAGCACCTGCTGCATGGAGTGCCGCCGCCGAACCTGGTAGCGGTAGGGGTGTGGTTGAGGGAATGATTCAGGTGGCGCTGAGACATCAGACGGAGATAGGTCAAAAAGTGGGTGAATCCGTTGTGGCGCGTACCGAGTCGTCGGTGGTGAGAGCTTCAGCCAGAGCCGACAGTTGCGACCACAGGTGCCTCTCCTTCCCGCCGTCCACCATGCCGGGAAGCAGCCCAGAAACATCCGGTTTCAACGGCCGGCTGGGGTTTGAGATGGCGTTTGAAGGTGCTTCGAGGGCACTACTGCCGTTCCTGCTGCGCCTGCCATGGCTGCTGTGTGCATTGCTGCTGCTGGGAGGATCGCTACCGCACTGCTTCAGCAACTGCTGTCTCAGAGGCAACTGTTGCAGCAGCAAACGTTGGTGCGCCTGCCTTTTAGGCAGGGCCTGCAGCATCTTCTGAAGAAGCTTCCTCTCCTGCCTCCTCTCCTCCTCCTGCTGCCGCTCCACGCTCATCCCCCCCCGTCTACGCCTCTGCTTCGGCTGATTCGACTGCTCCTGCTGCCCCCACTGCTGCTCCTGCTGCCCCCACTGCTGCTCCTGCTGCGGCTTCCCTCCGTTCCTCCCACTTCCTTCCAGCAGCACCCCCAACTGCTCCCTCCATCGCTCAAACCCAGAGTCTATCTGAAAACCAAGGCTGGTACTCGTGCCAAAGAACCCGCTTCCTATCGTCCCCCCAGCAGCCATGCTGCTAGCAGCGCTTGCACCCCCTCCTACAGTCACATTTCCCTCTCCCACCCTGCCCTCCTCCATATAAGCATCTTCGCCTCCCTCTGCTGTGCTCCCAGCTTCAGCTGCCTGACCTGCACCGTGCTTACCTGCTGCTACATCCACTGCCAAACCTATTGCCGAACCTACTCCCGAACCTGCTCGCAAGCCTGCTCCCAAGGCCATACCTGCCGCGTTTGCATCTGCAGGGTCACCTGAAACCATACAACCTGCCACACGCTCCCTCACAGCATCTGCCATTCCTCCTGCTGCTCCTGGTGCCACTGACGCTGGATGTGCTGCTGACGTGGCAGCGCGGTATTGGCTGCTGGGAAGAGAGGAGGTGGTTATCACTCCAAGAAGCCCTTTCAGTCGCGCCGACAGATCAGGGGTGCGGCGAGCTTGCGTGCGGAGGGACGCCTTATTCCTGCTGGGCTGCACCTGGGAATTCACCTGGGAATTCACCTGAGCTCGCAATTGCTTGAAGGGTGAAGAGGGTGCACCCGAGTGGTCCCAGTCCCTGCCCCTCACTCCGCCCACCTGGTCTATGGGCAGTGGTACAGGGGTTGGAAGCGGGTTGTATGGCCTCGTTTTGGCACTTGTCTGGGTGACTGCCTGGCTGGATGCCTGCTGCTGCTGCTGCTGCACTTGCTGCTTTAAATACTGCAGCAGTAAGAGCCGCTCCTGATGCTTGTGCTCTTGCGCTCGCTCGTGCTGCTTCTGCTGTTGAAACCGCTGCTGCTCCTCCTCCTCCCGCTGTGCCTCCAGCAGCCTCTGCATTTGCTGCACCACTCCACTGCTGCTCTCCCCCACGCCCAGCGCACGCAGAGCCCTCGTTACTGTCACACTCGTCAGCCCTCCAAGTGGCGCCGCACCCCCCGCACGCTGCTGCTCTTCTCCCCTGCCCGGCTGCCCCTCCTGCTCGTGCTGCTGCGCTGTGTGCTCTTGCTCATGCCGTGCCCCGAGCTCCTGCTGCTGCTGCTCCTGCTGCTTCTGCAGATGCTCCATGTCCTCAATCATCTCTAGAAGCGCCTGTCCTCTGTGGCTGCCCTCGCCAGCCCCGTTTCTGGGCTCGGCAGACCCATTGCTGCACTCCACTTTCTGCTCTTGGGCTCGTTGCTCCTCCTTTCCTCTCACCGGCGCATCACAGCCTGTGGCATCCGCACCATCAACCCCATCGTAACCATCACCACTGCCATCGATACCAGCAGAATCAGGAGCACGGCCAGCATCAGAAGCACCAGCGGGATCACGGGAATCAGCAGAACCAGAACCAGCAGCAGCAGCAGCAGCTTCCTGCAGAACCGGCTCTGAGGCACAGGCTCCTCCAGCCCATGATGCCTTCGCATCAGCCGCACTCCCCTCAACCGCCCACGCCCCTACACTCCTCTCCAACAGTGCAGCCAGTGCCACTCCAAGCGCCTCAAACGTCCCCCTTCCCCGCCTCCCTCCCAGAGCAGCAGGCGCAGTGGCGAGGAACAGCTGCTGCGCCGCTGCCTCAAACGTCATCGCCTCCCCTGCCCCACCTGAATCCGCACCCGCCCCTCCTGACGTCCCCACACCCATGGCCCCTGCTGCAGAGCTTCCGCCAGCAATCCCGCCAGTGTAGGTTCCGCCAGCACTTCCGCCAGTATCCGTTCCGCCAGCAATGCCCTGGGGCGCAGGCGGCGGAGTGGGGAGGGGAATGCGCGAAGAGCCCAGTGGGAGAACAGTGGCAGGAGCGGGTGGCGCGGGGGCCGGGGGAAGGGATCGGGAAAAGGGGGCGGAAAGATTTTTAATGATATTTTGAGGAAGAGGGTGGTGCGAGAGGCAGTGGGGGAACTGCAAAGGGGGTTCTCCAGGGCCTGTGCCCGTCGCAGTCGTGTCTTGCATCGCTATCCATTCCAATAAAAGCCTCGTTACTGCAGCATCCGATACAGTGCCATCCACATGAGCTGCTCTGGTTGTCATGTCTGCTGCTGCTGCGGCTGCTGCCACATCTGCTCCTGGTGGCCCTGCTCTTGCTGCTCCTCCTGCTCCTCCTGCTCCTGCTCCTCCCGAGCGATCCTGTCCGTCCATCCCGAGCATGACATCGAACGGATGCAGCGCGACGCTGCCGCTGCCACCACCGCCACGACCACCTCCACCACCACCACCACCATGCAGAGCAGCAGCAGGACGACTGTAGGTAGTGTCGTTGTTCGCTGGAAGCACTACTGCCTGCGCGCCACTGCCGCCACCACCGCCGCCATCCCGACCGCCAGTAACACGACCGTTAGCACCGGCGGTGGTCGCTGTAGCAGGAGAGATAGCTGCCTGTGCGAGACTGCTACCTGCTGCGCCCGCGAGGCTCCCAGCGCGCTGCTGCTGCTGAAGCAACAGCATCGCCAGCAGCAGCTCCGCATTGGTATACTCCCCTGCTGGCGACTCAAAAATTGCCGATAGCGGAGCAATGACCGCTTCGGACCCTAGACTGCTGTTATCGCTGAGTCCTGTGCTACCTGCGCCTGATGTGGCGGTGGGGGGAGGGGCAGCTTCCGCCAGCGCTGCTGTTGGCTCCGCCGCTCGCGCCACGCCCGCCGCGCCCGCGGCTGCCAGCGCAAAAGCCTCCGCCACGGTTGCGCCGGGCTTCGGCGGAAGAACGGCAATTGGAGGTGCTGCGGGGAGGGCTTCTGCGGGCGCGCGCCATCCAGTTCCCGGAGACGCGCTTGCGCCGAGGGCGGAAGGTTGCGCGGAAGCAGTTTGCGCTGATGGTACAGGTGCACGGAGGTCTTGCGCGGAGCAGGGAATTCTCACCGCGGGTTCCGCCAACAGCGCAGCCATTGCGGCGTCGAACTCCAAATCCATTCCGCAGGACTGCTGCGAGCCGTCCAGATTGTTCCCAGGCCACGGCCAGCCGTCGATTCTTTGAAAAGATGGGTCGAACTCGTCAAGCGACGTTTGCGGAAGCAGGGGCGGCTGCAACAGGTCCATTAGATTCGCGCTAAGCTGGTCGCACGACTGCTGCAAAAAATCGTCGCACGGTTGCTGCGAAAAGTCGTCGCACAGCGCTGCGAAGCTAATGTCGTCCATGGTTCAGTGCGGCTTACGTGTGTGACTGAAAACGCGGAAGAATGAGGATAGCGGAGACTACAAGCAGAAGAGGACGAGGATAGCCTATCACGCAGTGATATTGAAGCTAAGGGCGCGTCACCTCAAAATTCGAACAAAGCCCTTTGTTCGAACAAGCGACATGTTACAAATCTCGCCTATTTTCGCAAGCAGTTCGTTGAGTCCTCGTTAGTTCGCAAATAGAAACGTCGCTAAATCGAACAGAGCTGTCACATCCAGCACGAGGGATTTCGCGCTTGCTGTTCGAATGAGTTCGTTCGAATGTAATTCGGGATGAGCTCATACGACGCCCACGAATCGCACGAAGAAGTTTCCAGGTATCTCACGACTGCCTTCTTATATTCGTTATGCAATCAAAATCTTCTGACGACGGTTGTACGACGTCGCACGAGAGGCGACGTCGCATTTTCGAACACACCTGTCACTTCATGTGACACACCGTCACCTTTCACCAAATTTTCAAATCTTGTTCGAACATCGGAATTGTGCTGTTCGGGCACTGAAAAATAGTGACAGCATTCGAATTTTGGCCGACTGCTTGAGAGGTGACGCGCCCTAAGCAATGCACACGGCTCGTTTGTAAGGACAAGAAAGACTGGCAGGTACGGAAAGAAATGAGGTGAGGCGACGGTGAAGTGAATAGCGTTTCGAAAGAGCCTCTGGTTCCAAGATTTGCGAGCGGGCGGAAATGGGGGCAAAGAATGGTCTGCATTCTGCAAGGACTCTGTGGCACCACAACAAAACAAGACCGCCTCTCATCCCATCATCACATCACACGCTAGTTGCGAGTTGCGACAGTAGGGATGTGTGGGTGGGTCGGTGGGATGAAGATGAGATGTCGGTGCGAGGGCGCGTTCCGTATGCTCGTACGTATCCGATTTCCGGGCGGGTCGGAAAGACACTCAGCCCAAGGACCAGAGAGGTCCATATTTCTGCGTAAAGACATTACAGCTTGAAAGGTTTCCAAAAGCTGAAAACCCATCCCCGCTAGAGGAGTGATGCTCAGGAGTTGTCCTCACTATAGGGTTCACAGTAATCTAATTGAAAGTTGGGTCTTGGGTGATTGTTTTTCTTTGTTTTTCTTTGCGGGTGGAATTAATGGGCTGGTGTACACGCAAGCTTCTCCGGTATTAGCTGGGATGATAGCTTGCGCTGCTTGCTCCGCTCTGCGCAGCAGAGTGCGCTTCGCCCCACGCGCCATTTGGGGTATTACTGTACTTTGCGGCGCTGTGCACTCCGTTCCGCGCAGCACAGTGCGATTCGCCCCGGCCGCCATTCCCGGCGTAGTATTTGGCCTAAACCGGCGCAACCAGCCCAAGCAGATATCGATGCCATGCCAGCAAGCATGCACCCTACCATCACCATGCAGCTCGCGACGTCAGCTTTCCCCTGTGCGAAACTGTGAAACCTGGATTCCTCGGAGTTTCGCTACGTTCGCCGAACAGCCAAACTCCAAGGTCGCTCATCTCGGGACCATACCATTCCACCATGAAACCCTAGCTCCCACCCCATTGTCCTGACACAGCCAGTTTCTAGGTCCTGCTTTCGCTGACACCCGCTCTTCCTCTCAGCCGCTCCCTCACTAATTTTTGCTTACTTCCAGCAATGCACAGCCTATCTCTATCAAAGGTGGTGGTGCTCTCCTAGATGTTTCCTATCCCGCCAATTCCAACGGTCGCGGTTCGAACCGTGTAGATTCCGTGTGGGAATTGCTCATCCGCAATTCCCTCAATTCGTGGTTGGCCACGAATATTTAGAACAGCAAACTTCATCCACTCTCCATCCACTCTCCTACTCAAAGCTTCTAGGTTCTACAATCACCTCGATTTCAACCTTTGTCGGCTTGATGCGCCTTATCGTCTACGAGTGGAGCATATTTCGATTTCATGCTGCAACCAAGGCAACACCGATGGCTTCCAACATTTAAGACCAAGAGGATGAGCTTCAAGGCAATGCGCTGAGGCAATACCACAAGACAACTGCCAGCCAAAGATTCGACCAAAACTCAAGACATGAAGTCTCCCCACCTTCAGATAAGTACCGTTTACTCTCAACCGCATTTCTGATCATCCTTGGTATGACATCGTTTTCATATTTGAGCGCTTACCAACACCGCTGCATGAGCCATTCCCCTTACTGGTATAGTTTTTTTTTCTCAGGTAACCTTTTCTGGTGAGATCCTAGGTTCTCTTCTGGTATTTTCTTGGTACTTGGCTCATGTGGCAGTGGCGGTTCGCGCTCTTGTTGTGTGTTATCTGCATATACATCGCATCATTCACATGCATGCTTCATCTGGACCTTCCAGTGTTGCTTTTACTCACTCTCCCTCCTCTGTCCTTGCCCTGGCAGAGGCTCGTTCGTCAACACCATCAACCACGTGAGAGCATCAAGTCAACGTTAACGTCGTCCAGCCAACACTCATGGAGTCAACTACCAAGCGAAAGATTCGACCAAAATACAAGACATGAAGCGCCTACACCCAGATAAGTACCGTTTACTCTCAACCTCATTTCTGATCATCCTTGGTATGACATCATTTTCATACTTGAGCGCTTACCAATACCGCTGTATGAGCCATTCCCCTTACTGGTATAGTTTTTTTTTTTCTCTCATGTAACCTTTTCTGGTGAGTTCATAGGTTCTCTTCTGGTATTTTCTTGGTACTTGGCTCATGTGGCAGTTGCGGTTCGCGCTCTTGTTGTGTGTTTCTGCATGTACATCGCATCATTCACATGCATGCTTGTCTGGACCTTCCAGTGTTGCTTTTACTCACTCTCCCTCCTCTGTCCTTGTACTGGCAGAGGCTCGTTCGTCAACACCATCAACTACGTGTGAGCATGAAGGCGCTTAATGCTTCAAGTCAACGTTGAAGTCGTCCAGCCATGGCTTGGAGCCAACATCGGAGTCTTTTCAGCTCAAGTCTGAGCCCGAAGGCCAACTCTGCTCAACAAAGACTTCAGGAAAAGCTAAGTAGCGCTCTCCTTGGCTCCTCTTTTGCTCTTGCTGTTATTTCGGACCATCATCTCCTCTCCGCCTTTCATGGCATGGCGTTTATGCTTGAGCGCTCACTAGTACCACCACTTGAGTCATTCCCCCTCTGGTAAGGTTTTCAGGTCTCTTCAGGTATTTTTTGGTATATATGACTCTTGTGGCTATGGTGGTGAGCACTTGTGCGTTTATGTTATTGCACATATCATCCATCATGCTCACGCCCATAACTTGAACCTCTGTACTTGCTTGTGACATTACTCATTCACCCCTTCTTTTCCTCCTCTGATTCGCTTTGCAGGTTCCTCATCATTGAAGGCCTTCATTGGACGAAGACCACTCATGATGGTCAACACTCAAAGGCATTCGGGAGTCCAAGATTTTTATCTCCCAAGATCGCAGGACCCTTAGGTATGGTTTCATTCCTTTGGCAGTTTAAATTTGTGGCACATTTACTAACTTGCCGCTTTTTTTTCCCGCAGGTCCGCCAACATGTCAACGTACATTTTAAGGTACTCAACAATCACTTACATTCAGCGGTCAAGCATCTGAAGTTTCTCAATGTACGTATTTTAAGTATTTGATTTTAATGCTTGCTCCATTCTTGCATATTCTGGCTGAAAACTGACCATTGTTTTGTCCTCTTGCAGGTAACCTGGAGGCGGATGCAAGAGGCTTTTGGCAAGAAATGATGGCCTAGGACCTAAGGATCAAGGCTCTTAAGGTAAGACTTATATCTTTTGGCAGCTTAAGTTTGTGACACATTGATTAACATTTCCGTTTTCATCCTGCAGGCTCTTCAACATGGCAGAGTTTTAACAGGCATCACGACTCAAGATGCTCAATGACGTCCAGTACTCAAGGATCTGAAGTCTCTCAAGGTACTTTCTTTAACCTTTTAGCATTAGGATTCAATGCTTTCTTTGTTCTTGCATGCTCTGGCTGGGGACTGACCATCTTTTTGTCCTCCTGCAGGTAACCTGGAGGCGGCGACCTATGGCATGGCTAATGGCGTGAATGCATGAGAAGGCATGGTGCCGAGGGACCCTTGGGGTTGTCTGAACACTCGGATCCGGGCCATACAGACTGAATCTGTTGGTACAGAGCTGACTGCAGCAGCTTCGTATCGGCAGATTCAGTCTATGAGAATGGGCTCCCGCATGCCTTGGGTTTAGCAACTCTGAGGGTTGGCCAGTCCTCCCTGTGGTGGGGGAGGATGGTCATGACTCAGCAGCCTGTCGCCATGCCTTCAGCAGCCATTATTTTCAAGCCAAGACAGTCTCGTATCCATGTAAGTCGTTTTGGTTGCTCCAGGGTTACTGCTTACATCAAATGCCTGCAGGTACCTTATGCTATGCTCTAATAATTTGCCTTAGTAGGAGAGATGCTGAGTAGCAGCAACATGCTCTAGGACATGCTACCAATGTTTTGTAACGTCTTATATTTACTGAACTCTTGAATGTATACTTCTGCATATTTTAATTGAAAGGTGAAAGCTATCAACCAGAATTCAGGACCCATATAGTACCATCAACTTTGAGAAACTGCCAGCCAATGTAGTTGCCAGACTTGCCTCTCCTCAGCTGACTCTACAAGATCCCTCTTTTCTGCTGCTGCACCCATTCTTCTCACTTATTCAATATAAACATGTCAGAATCTAGAGACAAGAATGAATGCATTGATCAAGAGTTGGGTACATAAGCTAACCCTAACATTGGGTTGTACCCCATATGGGCTACCCCACTAGCAGCCTACACAAACACAATATGCATAGTTTGACACACCCCCATAGGCAAAGTGGGGGAGAACAAGGGGTCACAAGACCAGTCAAGAGAAACAAACCAAGCTCAGGGTGGATCACAACGTCACCACACAGACTGAGCACAAGCAAAGGGCCACAAGGCCAGTCCACATGCAGAGGTATATATGCAACAAACAAAGTACAGTGATCACTACCTAGCAAGAGCAAGCATGCATGTATATATATATAAAGATCACAGTACAGACAGAGTCTACAGCAAGTGTGGAAACGTAGGCACAAGGCCCAACAAGGTACAAAAGCGCTGATGATCACCAGACGGAAGTGCCTTGGTGAATATATCAGCAGTGTTGGCCCGAGTGGCCACGTGTGCAAGACGAAGCTGACCACGCTGCTGCAACTCTTGAGCCAGGAAGTAACGCAGAGCGATGTGCTTCGTTCTGTGCTCCAGTCTGTGCTCCTCACACAAGGCAATGGCTGCCTTGTTGTCAACGTACAGAACTGGAGGAGAACGAGGCCGCTCTCCCAGGTCGGTCAGCAGGTACGTGAGCCAGCGCAGCTCCTGAGCAGCCATGGCGGTGGCGTAGATCTCAGCCTCACAACTGGAGCTGAGAACAGAAGACGAGCGAGTAGAACGCCACGAAACAGAACCAGAGCCGAGGCTGAAAGTGTAACCCTGTGACGACCGCTGTGTAGCCTGGTCGTCAACCCAAGACGCGTCTGAGTGCCCAGTGAGGACCACCTCTCGCCGTCCTCCAAGCACGAGCCCCATGCCCGATGTACTGCACAAGTAGCGCAGTACCCTCTTCGCAGCATCCCAGTGCACCTTTCGGTGCCGACCAGGAGCCACGTAGCGGGCCAAAAGGCCAAGAGGGTACGCAAGGTCAGGACGAGTGCAAGTCATCAGGTACATGAGGCAGCCTACTAGCTCTGGGTAAGGACCACTCGGCTCTACGGACTCGTCCGAAGGTGGAGCTGAGAGCGAGTGACCTGTAGCCAGAGGAGTGGACTGTGCCGAGGACCAGGTGAAGCCGAAGCGCTGAAGAACCTGCTGCACCATGTGTGACTGAGTCAGAGTGATGGTGCGACGTGCTCTGTCCCGGGTGATCTGCAAGCCAAGGTAGCTGCGCAGCTCACCCAGGTCTGTGCACGTGTGTCTCTTCTGCAGCTCCGACTTCACCAGGGCGAGAGCCTCAGTGTCAGCAGTGGCAAAGACCAAGTCGTCGACGTACACGAGGATGTAGAACGGCGGCAGCGAGGTGTCGGTGCGCAGAAACAGTGACGGGTCAGCTGTGGAGGGCGCAAACCCGAGAGCCGCAAGCGTAGTCCTCAGTGTGTCGTGCCACTCACGAGGCGCCTGACGGAGACCGTAGACTGGCCGGCGGAGGCTCCACTGGGTACCAGGAGGGAACGACCCAGTGAAGCCAGGTGGGCGGCGCAGCCAGATCTCCTCGTGCAGGCTGCCCTGCAAGAAAGCTGTGCTGAAGTCAAGCGAGTGAAGCTCGTAGTCACGCTGGGCGGCAACGTGCAGCAGTACCCGAAGAGTGGTCATCTTCGGGGTGGGGGAGAAGGTCTGGAAGAAGTCAACCCCCTCTCGCTGACTGAAGCCTCGAGCAACGTAACGTGCCTTGAAGACAGGCGGAGAACCAGGCGGCCGCTTCACCCTGAAAATCCACATGCCACTGACGATGTTCGCCCCAGGAGGGGGAACGTCGTCGACGTAGGTGCCTGTGGACTTCCAAGATGCCATCTCTGCGTCCATGGCTGCCTGCCACTGAGAGGAGTAGGGACCCGCGACCGCCTCAGCGTACGAGCGCGGGGTGGGGATGTCTAGTGCATCCGGGTCTCCCTCAGGGGCAAGCAGCATGGTCACGAGATGAGGCGCAGCGGCTGCAAGACACTCAAGGTCCTCGTGCCTGTCCTCAAGGACGTCCGTGCTAAGAGCACACTCACCCCCGACGGACGGAGGACAGACAGACTCAGACTCAGCAACAAGACTAGCAGCGTAGTCTAGACGACAGGCAGCCGCAAAGTCAACAAGCTCAGCAACCAAAGCAGTCGCAGCAGCAGACTCAAACGAGGGGTCAGTGACAACAGTGGCGAGCAGACGCGTGACAGTAGGGTGCTCAGCACGAAACCGGTCAGACTCAGGGTCCGGAACGTGAGGCAAGGAAGACGCAGGAGGAGACGGCAGAGAAACAGACTGCGGAACAGAGGAAGGACGACGGACGACAAGGTGTGCGGTGGGGACAGGCGGCGAACGCGGACGCGGAACACGACGACCGGTACGACTAGGACGAACAGGCGAGACAGGACGCGACGCAAGCTCACGACGCTCAGCAAGACTACCTGTCTGCTCGGTGTAAGGAGAAGGAGCAGGCAGCGGTGAGCCAGGCTGTAACGGAAGACCAGTAGACGACGGGAGAGTAAGAACCTGACGAAGAACAGAGTCAGGCGGCGGCAGAGACGACGGAGACGGCGGAGCGAAGAACAGTCGTGGCGGCGCAGCTGCACCAGGACCGGCAGCTCCAGCAGCTCCAGCAGCAGAACCGACACCGCCAGGCCCAGGGTCTCCAACCCCAGTGCCTCCAGCAGCAGCACCCCCAGAACCAGTACCTCCAGTCCCAGGGTCTCCAGCCTCCACGTCTCCAGCAGCAGCACCCCCAGAACCAGCACCTCCAGTCCCAGGGTCTCCAGCCTCCACGTCTCCAGCAGCAGCACCCCCAGAACCAGCACCTCCAGTCCCAGGGTCTCCAGCCTCGGTGTCTCCAGCAGCAGCACCTCCAGACGCAGCACCCTCAGCCCCAGCAGCTCCAGTACCTCCAGTACGAGCACCTCCGGGACCAGCGACTCCAGCACCTCCAGTAGAAACAGTACCAGCACCACTCCTAGCTCCAGGGACGGCAGCAGAAGTACCTCCAGCAGTAGAGCCCCGGGCTCCAGCAGCGCGACCCTGACGGCGACCGTACCAGTCGTGCAGCTGCTGCGAGGTGAGAGGCACACGTGGACGAAGGCGGCTACTCCAAGGAGACCGCGCAACAGCAGACTCTGAACCCTCAGCGCCAGCACCCTCAGCAGCTCCAGCGCCACCAGCACCAGAACCTCCAGCAGCTCCAGAACCTCCAGCGCTCGCACCCTCAGCAGCCCCAGAACCACCAGCTCCAGCACCTCCAGACCCCTCACACGCAGGCTCAGCACCTCCAGGCTCTACACCCTCAAGCTCCGCACCCCCAGGCTCCGCACCCCCAGGCCCAGCACCCCCAGACTCAGCACCCCCAGAAGTAGCACCCCGAGCAGGACCACCCCCAGCAGGACCTGAGTCACCAGTGACCTCAACCGGCGCAGGGAAGGGAGGAGGGTCTACCTGAGACACACCTGAGGGAGCAGGACCTGGAGCGGGGAGAGGGTCGACCTGGGGAGCACCTGGAGCGAGGAAGAGCGGCGGGGTAGGGATGTCTAGTGCATCCGGGTCTCCCTCAGCGACGGTCCTACGGACCTACTGCTCTGAAACCATGTCAGAATCTAGAGACAAGAATGAATGCATTGATCAAGAGTTGGGTACATAAGCTAACCCTAACATTGGGTTGTACCCCATATGGGCTACCCCACTAGCAGCCTACACAAACACAATATGCATAGTTTGACAAAACATTTTCTTGTATGGATCGAGTGGAGTAAGGGCTGACGTGTACAAAGAATGTGATTGGCAGATAATGCTTAGAAGCACCTTTCAAATGCGTAGGGCATCTCCTTTCGAATTTAGCATCAATTTTGTTTGTGCCTCCTCTTTGCATCCATGGCTGCCTCATACAGCTTAGCTGCCACCACAGGCCCGGCATTTTCCACCATACTGGCAAATACCGAACCCCCTTTTCCCCTTCTAACACCGCGCTCGTCCAACCCCTGGCGCAACAAATTTGCTGGGGTGTCAAACTCTGCAACCCTACCTCCAGGCGCAAGCACCAGCACCCTGTCAGCATCAATAACTGTGTCGATACGATGCGCTATAGTCAGCACAGTAGCGCGCATGCCTGCAGCACCGAACTGCTCGCGCACTGTGGCTTGAACTAGAGCGTCGGTCTCCCCATCAACGGCTGCGGTTGCTTCATCCAGCACCACCACTCGGGACTGCCGCAGCAAGGCACGCGCGAGACACAGCAGCTGCCTCTGCCCCACACTGAAATTCTCCCCGTTTTCAGACACGTCCATATCAAGAGTCACTGGGCGCAACCTTGTGGTGGGAGCTGATTCAACCTGAGACGGGGTTTCCCTGAGCAGCGTAATCGAATCATAAACACCCCCATTCCGGTCTCTTGCACTGTTGCTGTTCTTGTTTCCTGCATCTGCTTCACCATTGCTAAGAGCGGCAGGAGGAGAGAATGATGGTGGTGCTGAGTGGTTGGAATGAGAGGTGGGAGGAGAGAGGTGCGCGCGCCTGAGGGCGTCCTGCATGTCGGCATCGGAGTAGCGGCCAAAGGGGTCCAGGTTCTGCCGCACAGTGCCCTGGAAGAGCACCGGGTCCTGGGAGTGAAGGGAGGGAGGAGAGATGGTGGGAGAGATTGTGAGGCGGCTCACAAACACCACAGGGCTGTGGTGACAAGGGAGGTAGGAAACGAGGCAGTGGGAGGGCAATGCGTGGAGTCTGAATGAGCAGAGGAGCATGGGAAGTTAGAGGAGATCAGGAGAACTCACGGGAGCAAAAATACTTGGGGGAGGATGGAGCTTACAAAGAGAGAGAGAGAGAGCCGGTGTACCTGGGGGATGATGGAGAGGCGCTGCCTAAGGTCGTCCAGCCCCACGCCTGTGAGATTCAGGCCGTCTATGCTGACGTGGCCGCGGCTGCGGCTGTTCTCCACCAATCGGAAAAGCACCGCTGCCAGGCTGGACTTGCCCGACCCCGTTCGCCCCAGGATGCCGACCATCTCGCCGCCCGCAACCTGGTGGATGTGACAGGGGAGGGCATTGTGTGAGAGAGAATTGGATGAGCAGGAGAGATGAGAGGAGAGAGGAGGACGTGCAAAAGTCGGAGAGCGATGAATTCATCCGGCACTCACAGTGAAGGTGAGGTCATTCATTGCATAAAGCAGGTCCTCTTATGAGCATTAACTCAGAATAGATCATTCAGTGCGTACGGCAGGACTTCACTTGCGAATTCTCACAACCGGTTGTGATAAGTCATGCACTCACCGTGAAGGTGAGGTCATTCAGTGCGTACGGCAGGTCCTCCCGATACGCCATGTACACGTGGCAGAACTCCACTCGCCCCTTGTCCGGCCAGGCGGGCGGCAGCGTGCCAGGTGGCGAGAGGTGATTGGCCTCGGAGGGCAGCTGCATGAAGGCGTGGATGCGCTCCACAGAGGTGAAGTAGTTCTCACTCTCTGCTGCCTGCCGTATGGCGTACTGGAAGAGGCCTGTCAGCTGCAGGCTCTGGACGAGAATCACCCCTGTATGGGGGAAGGAGTGGAGGGTGGAGTGGGCAGGGAGGGGTTGGTAGTGAGGAGATTCTTCAGCTGCAGGGAGGGACTGCACCAGAATCACCCCTGTATGTGTGATGAATTGCAAAGAAGCGGGCACAAGTCACAGCTCTCTCACACTTCCCACATGCTGTCGATGCCTCTTAACTTCTCTGCACGCCTGGATGTACACATATGAAACGAGTCTCCCCACCCGTACCCTGTATGATAATACCCACTGCCCCCTCTGTCCACTGCCCCCTCTGTCCACTGCCCCCTCTGTCCACTACCCACCGCTAACTGCCCCCTGCCAACCGCACGTTACAACTGTTTCTGTCCAAGCCACCACTCACCAGCATACCCTGCTGGCAGAGAGCCGTGCAGCACGACCACTAGGATGGCGACAAGTGTCACGAGCGCAGAGGCGCACAGGTCCAGGCGGATCCCGAGCCACCGGCCGGCGTGCACGAACTGTATGTAGGCGCGGTGGTTGGTGTCGATAAGCGCGATGAAGTGATGGAGGAAGGCGGGCGCAGCTCCATATGCCCGCACCGACACCACTCCCTGTGTGGGTGGGTGCGGGATGAAAGAGAGCAGGAGAGATAGAGAGATATCTGTAAGAGAGGAAAGGGGCATGCCCGGACTGGATGTAGGTGTGCTGGTTGGCGTCTATGAGCGATATGAAGAGATGCGGGAAGGTGGGCATGGCTGTGTATGTTGGCACTGACACCAGGGGAGAGAGGGAGAGACATAGTTATAGGAAGTTGCACCAAGTGGATGTAGATGAGAATGGTCGAGAGGCTGCAGTGCACGGTGGAGGAGCGGGACAGAACGGTCGAGGGGCTGCAGAGCAAGCTGGAGGTGCACGCTGTGAGTAGAGTCACAGGGGGGATGGAACCTGCTAACGACTCTACTCACAGCGTGCACCTCCAGCTTGCTCTGCAGCCCCTTAACCGTTCTCTCCCGCTCCTCCACCGTGCTCTGCAGCCCCTTAACCGTTCTCTCCCGCTCCTCCACTGTGCACTGCAGCCCCTTGGCCGTTCTCTCCCGCACTTAGTTATCGGCTTTAACTCAACACCCCACCCACCTGCAGGCTCTGAGCGAAGTGCGCCTAGATGAGCGAGCGGGAGAGGTGCATATATTCGCAGGCTTTTCCACCACACTCCACCCAGCACACACCCACCTGCAGGCTCTGAGCGAAGTGAGCGTAAATGGGCGAGCGCGAGAGGCCGTCGATGCGCTTGAGCTCGCGGGAGACCCGCAGATAGCGGCGCTGCAGCAGCGAGAAGACCAGTAGCAGCGGCGGCAGTGCTAGGAGGAACCAGGGCACCAGCACTGCCGTGACGGCTATGGCTCCCGCACACCCCAGGAAGAGCTCCATGGTTTGCTGGATGGGGGAGGTGAGGAGGTTGAAGGGAAAATAGGAGGGGAATGAGGAGTTGGGACGAGCAGCGGCAGCAGTCGCAGGAACCACGGCTCCAGCACTGCGGTGATCGCTATGGCCCCTGCACAGCCCAGAAAGAAATCCATGGTTTGCTGGAGGGAGGGAAGGCGAAGGGGAGAGGGAGGGTGAGGGGAGAGGAATGACAAAGGCATTTCCATTACAACATGACGGGGAGAGGGAGGGGGAGCAGGGAGGGGTGAGGAGTGCGAGAAATGACAAGCATTTCACTTATAACGTGGCGCTGGCATGAGGGAAAGGAGAGAAGCCAGAGGGGTGCAGAAAGCATGCTGGATACCTGTACGGTGGTTGGGAGGAGGTCATCCACTAGTGACTGGTCCTTGCTGAATCGATTGAGGATTCGACCCACTGGGTTCTGACAGGATGAGGGAGGGGATTCAACAAGTGGATGGGGGAGGATAGTCGGGTGGGCGAAGAGTGAGTAGAGTGGGGGTGGATTATCATATCTTATCATAATCATCATATCATATCCGAGCACAATGCATTGCCCAGGGCTAACTAGCATTAAGAATGAACACCACAATGCTCACCTGGTCAAAGAAGAGCAGGAGCGAGCGCAGCACGTGCACAGCCATGAGATGGTGCATGTGGCATTCGGTGCATTGCCAAACAATCTGCACCACGCTCCCCACAGTCAATTCTACCAATCAGTACCGCACTCCTTTACCTGGTCAAAGAACAGTAGTGGAGAGCGCAGCACGTGCACGGCCATGAGGTGGTGCATGTGGCGCGCTGCAGCGAGGGCGGCATGGGTGAACCAGAAGGCCCGCAGGAGGGACAGCACAATGGCACCCGCTGTCAGCACCGCGTATATGCCCACGTACAGGCCTGGTGGGGGGGAAGAAGGGGGGGAATTAAGAAGGTGGCTTGTGAGTGAGTTCAAGGATTAAGCAGCACGATGGTGCCTGCAGTCAGCACCGGGTATATGTCCACGTACAGGCCTGGTGGGGGGTGGTGAGTTGAGAAGGGGTGGTGAATTGAGGTCGGGTGGCTTGTGAGTGGGTTTCAAACAGCACAATGGCTTTGGAAACCCACCTGACCTGGAACACCTGAGGAGAGGGAGTACCTGTGGTCGGTTCTACCTGAAACCCACCTGAAACGCACCTGAACTGGAAGCCACCTGAACTGTAACCCACCTGAGGAGAGGGAGTACTTGTGGTCGACCCAGACGCCCAGCCAGTAGTCCACGAGTGTGCGCACAGTCTGTGCCACCATGAAGGCCAACAGCAGCCCGGCGAAGAGCAGGAAGCTGAGAGCAGCGAGAGGCAGGTCAGGAGGGTTAAGATAGGGCAGATTTACAGAGGGAGTTTCAGTAAGGTATCGAAAATGGAGGGAGATCGAAGGTGAAGATGGAGGGAGATCGAAGGTGAAGATGGAGGGAGATCGAAGGTGAAGATGGAGGGAGATCGAAGGTGAAGATGGAGGGAGATCGAAGGTGAAGATGGAGGGAGAAAGGCGGCAGAAGCACAATGGAATCGAACAGGGGTGCAGAGAGCAATGCTCATGGTCAGCGAGCAGCAGGGAAGGGATGAAACGCGCAAGAACAGGGGGAGAAGGACTGAGCTCACCCTCCCCCGGCTTTGATGTAAGCACAGTAGGTGGCGCGAGTGACCTGCCCCTCCACTCTGTCCTCCTTTATAGTCACACGCCCCATGCTCCGCTGCCCCCACTGCGCCCGCTTCTCCCTCTGTCCCTCTGTCAGCTTCACTGACTGCTCCTTCCCATCCCCCTCCCCAGGTACTGCCCCGTTCTCTCCCTCACACGGCCCGTTAGCCACACCATTCTCCCCACGAGCCACCCCATCAGCCACTCCAGCAGCCACTCCAGCAGCCACCCCACGAGCCACCCCATTCTCTGCATTCTCCACTTCCCTCAGGACACCATCCTGCACCACCGCTTCCTCTCCTCGCGTCTCCGCCTCCTCTCCCCGCCTCGCATCCACCACCTCTGCCTCTTGCCCTTCACGTGCCCCGCCCTCCCTGCCCTCGCCTGCACCTCCTGCTCCATCCCCCCCTCCATTCTCCCCTCCCCCTTGAACCACCTCCCTGGGCCCCACTTCCCCCAACACCTCCCCTCCTTCTTTCCCTTCCCCAACTCGATCTTCCACCACGGTTTTCTCATCCAAACCTCCCAGCCCCTCCCCCTCCCCACTCTCCCACCCTCCCCACCCCTCATATCTTGCCGAGGGCACCGCTTCCACCGCAGCAGCAGCAGCAGCCGCCATGGCTTCAACGCTCCTCACTCTCTTCATCTCCCTCCCGCTAATCGCCCCCACCTCTGCTAATTCCTCCGCACTCCCGGCCAATCCCAGCCGTCCATGCGTCATCAACAGCACCTGAGAGCACGCGTCCAGCGACCGCCGGTTGTGCGTTACGAGCACGACCGTGCGGTTACCACGTTGCATGATCCCTCCTTGAAGCACGTTCTCTATAAGGTGCTTCGCTGTAGGCACGTCCACAGCAGCTAGAGGGTCGTCTAGGAGAACAAGGGGAGCGCTGCTGTAGCAGGCTCTGGCGAGGGATATCCTTGCCTTCTGGCCGCCACTCAGGTTGATGCCCCTCTCTCCCTGCAGATGGGATTGGAGAAAAGGAGGGGGGAACGAGGAGAGAGGACAACTTAATTACACAAGAGATTCACTGCAGTAGCAAGCTTCAGCGGAAAATTCCAAGCCGAGCAGGATACTAGGCTGAGCTAAAAGCACTCACAATTTCCGTCTGGTGCCCGGCGGCCAGGGCAGCGATGTCACGGTCAAGCGCACACGCACGCACCACCTCCTGGTACCTGCCTGCATCGTAGGGCTGCCCGAAAAGAATGTTCTCCATGACCGTAGCATTCAGGATCCACGGCTGCTGCGCGGCATACGCCACGTTTCCTAGACTGCTCACATACATGGCACCACCCACATACTGCATCTCCTCTAGTATTGCCTGCAGGAGAGAGGACTTGCCGCTGCCCACTGCCCCTGTGACTGCTACAACTGCTCCTCTCTCCACTCGCAGGGTCACTCGTTCCAGGTGGAACCCTGCTCCTGCAGTAGCAGCAGCATCTGCTGTGGTACCAACAGCATCGGCAGAAGCAGCAGCCTCAGCAAGAGAGGAACCACCCCCCTCTCCCTCCAGCCGTTGCCCTCTTTCCAGTCCACTATGCCTACCCTCTTTTGAGCCGTCCCTTTCACCCACTTCGCCATCATCTTCCTTGCCCTCTCCCTGCGCGCAATCGGGCTGAACAACACCAACAGTTCTCCTTCCGTTCCTCTTCTCCTGCGCTTTGTGAGCGCCAAGCTGTCTCCTCCACAGCCCTCTGGCGCCTTGCCCCTTGCCTCCCTCGGCTTCCTGCTGCTGCTCTGTGCTGGAAGGTAGTCGCTGGGCAGTGGTGGAAGGAAGCTGCCAGGAAAATGAGGCGTCTTGGAGCGCCACAACCACGCCCTTGCTCTCCGCCTCTTCTTTCAGCTGCATACGATGTTGATTATGGGGGATGTGAATTCAATAGGGAGTAGGGGGATAATTGGGGGGAGTAAGATGACATACGCGCCACAGGAATAGAGCCAAGAAACGAAAGCAAAAAGCAAGAAAGTTTTCCCTTTCCAGCTGCCGTCCGTTCCTCCCTCTGCCACCCACCTCCGCCCGCTTCTCTTCCGAGCAGCCGCCCTGCCCGTCGGGCAGCGCGAGGAACTTCTCGAGGCGGTCAACGGCGACGACGGCCTCCCCAGCGAACTGGAGGCCAGTGGGGGCGATGAAGAAGATGCGCACCATGATGCTGAACAGCGCCAGCACTGCGAATGCCGTCTGGGGCGGCAGGTCGCCGTTTATGGCGACATAAATGCCGAATGTGGCGAGCGATGCCAGGGGCGTGACGGAATCCTGGTGTGGAGGTGAGGTGACAAGAGGAGGGGTGAAGGGGATGGGGCAGAGGTGAGGGAGTGGGGAGGCCAGTGGGGGCGATGAAGAAGATGCGCACCATGATGCTGAACAGCGCCAGCACTGCAAAGGCCATCTGGTGAGGAACAGGAGTGGCAGAGAGGAGGCTTTTGACTAGCAAGAGAGAATATCCATCCAGCACCCTTATCAACCAACCAAACCAGATTAAACCAACCTTGAGTGTGGAGTTGACTGATCGCACGTACGCCGCCCGGCGCAGCCACTGTAGCTCGTTGTCTCGTAGTGCGCGAATGCGATCCAGAAAGGCAGCAGTCCAGCCGTTGACCTTGACCACGCGCATGCCAGATAACACCTCCCCCAGCAGCCGCACACGCGCATCCGTGAACTTGAGCGCCTTGGGGCGCAATGCAGCTACCCTCTTTGCCATCCACACCTGCCAGAGATTAGCGTGGATAAAGGGAGAGGATCAGAGCCGCGCAGCCCAAGTAGGACTGTCTGCCACACTTCCATGTCTGGCAGGAAAGCTACTCCTAAGTGCCACACTTCCTAAGTGAGAGACTTAACTTGCATTGAGGGGAATTTCGAGACAATAACAGGACCTTGGTGTTGAGTGAGTCACGTGAGAGGCAGAAACAGGAACACTGCACTGACAATGAGCGGTTGGATGAGGAAGACGACTGCCACGCCCCCCAGCGCTGCCACTCCTGCCTCCACGATAACCAACGCACAGATGACTGTGAGGTCCAACACTGCCAGCCACACTGCGGAGGGGGGAGAGAATGATGGAGGGAGGGGGAGGGAATGGAGGGAGAGGGGGGGAGGGGGAAAAAAATGTAACAAATCTTTTAGAAAGGACAGAGGTAGGAGCTGGTGGCAAGCAGATGGCTGTCAGATCTGACACTGCCAGTCACACTGGTGTGGGGAAACAATGGGAGGGAGAGAGGGACGGAGGGGGCGTACCATAGTGGAAATACGTGATGGCGTCGAGGAGCTTCTGAGTGTCGTTGGTGATGAGGTTGAGCATGCGCCCAGATGTCGCCTCCCCCAGAGCCACCTGCTTCATTCCCAATGCCTGCACATGCCGTTCAGGTGCCATCAGTGCAAAAAGGACTTGGTGTCAATCTCCTCTTATTCTAAAAAAATGTCAGGTTTTGTGAGGAAAACCCCTGTTCAACCCACAGGTCAACTTAATGAGCACGCACTCACCTTGTGGTATACCACAGTGCACACGCACGCACGAACGCGCATGCCAGCCTTCTGGGAGCGCGTGAAGCAGTGGTGCATGCACACGCTCTGCAGCACAGACGTCACCGCCATGCCCACCACCAGCAATGCCGCCCTCCACGCTGCTGGCGGCTCTGGCGCTGCTGCTGCTGCGACCAGCTGCTTTAGCACGTACACCTGCATGGAGAGAAACATTAGCGAATGCACTTGGCTCTGCAACGAATGGCAAGCAAGTGTTTGAGGATGGTTGAGCTGAGGAAAGGGGCGGCGCACTTGGGTGCGTGTGTGTCACCTGGGTGCAGACGGCGGCGAGCCAAATGGGCTTCCACACGGCCGCCACGAAGTAGTACGGCCCGAACGCACGACCCAGCACCCGCCACACTCGCCCCACCCGCCGCCTCCCCCGCTTCCGCCCCTTATCACCCCCCTGAGACAGGCGCGTCTGTTCCGCGTGCGCCTGCTCGAGGAGGAGCTCTGTGCGCCATGCTCGGTGCCAGCAATCCACGCTCTGCTGCGTCGACTCCACCGGGTTTAGCTCGTACAGGTCGTCTTCCTGGTAAGTTCGGGTACGGTGGGACGACAATTGGAGCACGTCGACACAAGTTCGGAGCCAGCGGGACGAGGGGTCGGGATGCAGCAGGGCGATAGACGGAGCAGACGGAGCACGACAACAGGTTCGGATGCTGCCAGACAACCAATTCGGATTCAGTTAGGGGACAGGTTAAGATTCAGCTAACCGACAAGTTGGGATTCAGCGGGACAGGTATGAAATAGAACGAGCTACTCCGCAAACAATCATAAGGGCGGTGCTTGGGACATACGCCTCATAAATGGACGCAAGGATGAGGTCTAACATGATTCACGCCTTTGCGCGGCCGTCTCGGGATCTAACTGCGAAACATGCGCTCTAAACCTGCTTCTATCACGGCTACTAACGTAACTGACCGCTATTTTAGAGGCTCTAAACCAAGAAAGCGAGAGGGTAGAACTACCTGAACGACTTTGCGGTAGCCATAGTGCATGAACGGAGCGATCCAGGACCAGAAGAGAAAGCTCGGCCATGACGCCGATAGCTCGGGAGAGGGTCCTGCTGTGGGGAATCCCTTTCCTTCTCTGTTGAAGAAGCTGTCGCCGGCTGCTGTCGCGTCAGATTTGAGATCACATCCTGACATTGCTAATGGTCTCTCAAAAGAGAATGATTTTCAGAGAGATTTATGCTTTTATGCCGAATAAGCGGTTTTAGAAGGCTCTTCATGAAGCCATAACGCGGCGAACTGTCGACTACAATTCAGCCTGTTCCAGAAAAGAATGGTCGGTTAGTGCTGCGCTTGAGAGCCAAAGCTCGGCGACGGAGCAGCAGCGAGTCAAGATCGATAAATCTACGTCATTCCGCTTCCTTCGCGCTATACCTTCACATCTGAGATAAATTAGTTGCGTGAAGGTGGACCGATGCTCAAGCATTCCTTGCAATGCTCTAGCACATGGAGCCTTTTTTCCAAACTTCACCTTGAAGTTGGAACGAGAAGGAGACGTGGAAGGAAAAGAATGGCAGCTGGCAGAATGGATTTGCGGCTGTGATGGATCAGAGTGGTGGAGGGGAGCAGCACAGCCAATCCCGAGGCTGATCATCCCAAGGCCCGAGCGACGGAAACTGCGTGCGAAAGTGGCGACATTTAGGAAAGATTCGTCTTGCAGCAGAATTTGCCTCCCTTGTCGTTTCGCTTATGGATAGGAGTTTGGGCGGCTGGCTGTGGTGGATGGTTGTCTGCGACCTGGGCTCGCAGCCGATTTTGACGAGAGTTGCGTTACCAAGCTTTCCAGTTTGCGACCATCGCGAGCCACAGCTTTCCTCACATCCTCGCATCAGCATAACGCGGGACTCATACAAGTCCCGTAGCAAACGCAAAAATTGATTTATCGTCGACGCTATTGTTGAATTCTATGTTTCATTTTCACCTGGAGGGCATGAATCATGTTCACCTCTTGCACGTGGATCTTCCATCCCAACTGTGCGGAACCTAGAAATTGACATCCGATTTATGGTGTGCTTGTGAGTCATGTAGTGACCCTGAAGCAAGACAGCAGCTAGCTGAGCACTCGTAATGACCAGCCGTGGCTGATGCGAACAGGAGCTTCGTCGCAAGGAAGCTTACGCTGATTATTGCCTTTTGTTTTGTGACCTCTCCCTAGTTCTGTTCACTTCCGATTATTGTTAGCCGTTCCTCATCCGTTCAGATTCTTTTCCCCCGCCATGTCGTTAAAGGCATGTCTTGAAAGTCATGCGGTTGGCGAGCTCGTACGCGCTAAAGGCATCATGGTGGACGTGCCGCATAGCGCGCCAGGTATGCGGGTTTCCGAAAAGTTATCGCTCCTCCTTCTTCCTGGTTAATGTTACGATTTGTGAAAATTGCGTGGCATTAAAGTAATGTTGCCAATGTTGCAATTTTCCGCCAGTCCTCTTCGTCCTCCCGTAACCCCTTCATCACCTTTTCCGCTCCCCGCGCCCCGCGCGCCCCTCCCACCCTTCCCCTCTCCCCCGCGCGGCAGTGCGCGATGCGCTGCAGCTGATGCGCATGCACGGCATCTCCGCGCTGCCCGTGTGGGCTCCGCCCAACGAGTGGGTGGGCGCGGGGGGCTCCTCCATCATGGTCGCGGACAGCACCAGCGGAAGCGGGGGCGGGGGGGGCGGCTCAGGGTCAGGGTCAGGCGGTTCAGAGGTGGTAGAGGCGGGTGAAGAACGCGGGGAGGCGGGGGAGAAGGGCGCGGGGGCGGGCGCGGGGCGGGCGCGGAGGCAGTACATCGGGATGGTGAGCGTGCTGGACGTGCTGATGCACTTCGCGCAGTCGTCCGCGCGCGACGACCCCACGTGGGCGCTCGACGTGCCCATCTCCACGCTCATTGGCCACTGCCTCGAAGGGCTCTCCTGCTGGACCCTGCCTTTCCATCTCTCGTAAGCACTCCTTCTCGTAAGCGCCCCTTGCCCCACGTGGGCGCTCCACGTGCCCATCTCCACCCTCATCGGCCACTGCCTCGAAGGGCTCTCCTGCTGGACCCTCCCCTTCCACCTCTCGTAAGGGCCCGCTCCCCTTCATCCTCCCCTCCTCCCCCTTCTGCCCCCTTCTGGCCCTTTCTGCTCCCTCCTGCCCACTCCACTCATGGCCAATCCTGCCCACTCCTGCCTATCCTTCCTCCATTCCCCTTTCCCATTCCTCTCTCCCCTTCCCCAGAGTGCTCGACTCCTTGGAGCCAATGAGCAAGGGCGTGCATCGGGTGCTGCTGCCACTGCCATCCGCAGACCGCCCCCCCTCGGGCCCCATTGTGCCGCTTTCCGCTGCCACTCAAAGCGGCTTCTCCCGCGGCCTCCTCACCACCGGCTGTGCTCCTGCCTATACCATTCTCAACCAGGTGTGCTTTCTCAAACATGACTCCAACATAGCCAGCCTACACCATCCTCAAAAATATGTGCTTTCTCACTTTATCCCTGTTCAACCATGTGCGCTTCAACTTCATAACTCTTCATACTTGTTCCTACCTGTTTGTACCTCTTTATACACCTATCCATACTTGCATTTTATCTATCGAGGTATTTTTTCTTTACTTTCCTGCATTCGCTGTTCTCATAAGGAGATCGAGAGTGCTGCCGTGGTGCTTAACTCCACGCCCTGTGTGCGGCCTGCTCTATGCCTTTCTCTCGCAGGTGGATCTGATCAAGTTCATGATAGCTGAAGCACAGGCAGAGACAGGCGGCCAGCACCACCACTTCAAGTCCAGCAGCAGCAACGGCACCACCGCCACTGCCGCACCCTCGTCCTCTTCCTCAGCTGCTCCTCCTGCTGCCATGGGCAGTGGCAAGTCCCTAGCAGAGCTGCTGCAGCTGTCAGTTAAGGAGGCGGGGGCGGTGCATGGAACAGTGTTTGCTGTACCAGCGAGCATGAAGGTGCTGGACGCCATTCGTTGCATGCAGCAGGCATCTGTGGCTGCTGTGGCCGTGCTGGAGCCCACGCCAGATGACAAACTCGACGACCCCATGCTCGTCTTTGTACGTGCCCATGCCCGCTCATGTTGCCAGGCTAGCTTCAGAGCACTGGACTTGCTCCTCTTGCATCGCCTCTACATTGTTCATGCCTCAATCCACCAACTGGTGGCCCATTCCTCTATCCCACCTATGGCCCCTCCTGCTCCTACGGCCCCTACTGTTCCTGCTTTCTCTAGTCTTCCACAGCTTTTTCATACTATTCATTCTCACCTGCCCCTCCTCCCCGCTCCCCCCTCATCATGGCACCAGGGCCAAGGGCGTTGCCTGGTGGGCACGTTATCAGCCAGTGACCTGCGCGCCTGCAGTGAGGAGGCAGCGCTCACAGCCCTCCCCCGCTTGACCGTCGGTGACTTCCTCGCCACTCTCTCGGTCGCTCAAGACGTCGGAATCTCTGCTGCTTTCAGCCCATATGCCCCTCCTCCCGCCCTCGCCACCCTTGCGTCAAACTCCCCGGCTTCATCTCCTGCTCGCATGTGTGAAGCGCGATCCATGGTGCCGATTACTTGCCGAGAGCACTCTCGGCTAGGCGTGGTTATGTCTCAGGCGATTGCTGGGCGTGTGCATCGGGTGTGGGTGGTTGCGGATGATTCGTCAGGAATTCTTGTGGGCGTGGTGACCTTGTCGGACATTCTGCGATGCATAAGAGAGCACGCTGAAGGGGAGCGATAAGATCTTACCTGGGGATTGGGATACTGTGCTATGCTTCTCAGGGATAGGAAAATGAGGTGGACGAATTTATGCTTTTTGCTTTCTGTAGTTGTGAGGTTGTGAAGCCAATTTGAAGCGGTAATGAAACCGAAGCCGCCCTAAGCGAGGTAATTTCGGCCACCTACTCTAGAACTCAGTCCTGGAAGTCTCGAGAATCTCGTGGCCAAGTTCTGAGGCTTCAAACAGCCTGTCCTGTGCATGGCTCGGCTCGGCCAATAGCCAGCTGTGCTGACGGCATGACGCAAATCCGCCTAGAATTCTCCACTTGGCGTGGACTCGCTCGCCATACGTTTTGGCGGGCTGAAAATGTGTCGGTGACAGATTTGGCTGAGCTGCCTTTTGACGGGAATTCTAGCATTCTCCCGGTTCCCGACGCAGCGCCACGCGTCTGACCAATGACAAGCCTCCAGTGACCAGCTGCAGCGTGAGTTGACGCGCCGCAGGGCAGCCAAAAGCGGTGCAGGTCCGAAGGGTCTGCGAAGGTCTCTTTCTGACGGAAGGTGCGAGATAGATCCAGGTGGAAGGGAGGTTGGCCATTCGGGTCCGTCGAAGCCAGGTCAAGCGAAATGAAACCAGGGTTTGCGAAATATGCGAAACGAGCAGTCAGGTGCTGTCACGAATACTTTGGTGGTGGTTTCCGCCGGCCCTTCCAGTCGACGTCACCTCCACGCTTACGTCCTTCCCACTGCAAAACATTTCGCCAGGGGCAGAATGTTTTATTGCGTGAGGTGGAAGCGAAGAAAGTGACCGCGACTCGGCACTGTGGGCGCATGGAATGGAATGGTGCACATGGGAAAGGGAAGGAGGGAGGGCACGCCACGAATTGGGGCACGAGGTGAAAAGACGTGTGCGTGAATGGCGAAGTGTATGCGTGCATGGGGCACAGCGAAAGGGTGACATAAGGGAGCTGCGCGAAGCTTTAGAAGCTGAGGCTCCAAACGTCACGTGCATTGTGCTGGATCCTACGTCTTCCTCATTCCTCTTGCTTCCCCCAGTGTCAAACCCTACTAGTCTGTGCTGCTGGATAAATCTGCTGTTGCAGGGTTTGTTTCTTCATCTGCGAATTCTTGAAACAGCTCACTAGTCTGCTACCAGTCTACCGCATTACCTCGCATTCAGCTCCTAGTTTCTTCTAGCACTCGCTTCGAAATTATCAGCATTCTTCCGCATTTCGCTCGTTCATCCGTTCTAGCTTAGCATCAATGGCGGAATTAAAAACATCGAGTAGGTGCCCCAGCTGGGTGCCAGAGCTTCTAAGCGGCCATTACTTCTCTCCGTGCCGCCAACACGCCGCGGCGCACAAATCCGAGCGGAACTTCTTCTGCATCAAATGCCGCGGCGACCCTCTTTGCACGCTCTGCGTGCAGAAACACCACGCCGGTCCAGAGCACGACATTCTGCAAATCCGCCGCTCGTCGTACCACGACGTCGTGCGCGTCGGCGAGCTCTCGCGCCTTCTAGACCTGCACCACATTCAGGTCTACGTGATAAACAGCGCGAAAGTGGTTTTTATTAATCCGCGTCCGCAGTCTCGCGTGGTTAAGGGCGCGCCGTTCTTCTGCCGCACGTGCCACCGCACATTGCTCGACGCCAGTCGATACTGCTCCATCGGCTGCAAGCTCGCCGCATTGCGCCACGACCCCGCGCTTACATTGCGCCCGCGTGGGGGAGGCTCCGCGGAGCACGTCGCCGCGCGGCCGGCTGCGGGACCTGCACATTATGGGTCCAGCGCGGGAGTTGAACGGCCGGCGCGGTCTGGGGACGGACTATCTGATGACGACTCGGGCACGTGGTCGGCGGGGCAGCGGCGGAAGGAAGGGGGAAACGATTGGCGGAACGAGTGGCGCAAGCGTACATTGCCGCCTCTGCTGGTGGAAGATAACGGCGCGGCGAGCTCCGGGGAGAGCGACGAGGGGCGCGCGGAGGAGGACGGGGACGAAGTGGTGTCCGGGGACTGGCGGAGGGGCGGCGGAGAGAGGGAGAGGAAGCGCGCGCGCTACGACAAGGCGAATGTCGCGGAGTCTCTGCGGTATCCTGAGCTGGTGGGCGCGTCATCCCCGGTGTTCTCCCCCTTGACTCCGCCCCTGGCGTATCAACATGAAGGCAGCACTGGTTCCCCCTGGCGCGCGCACAGGCGGAAGGGCGTTCCGCACCGCTCCCCCTTGTCTTGAATTCAAATTTGGAGCAGCAAGGCGACTGCGGATTGCCTAAATGCCTGACCTGGGAGCACGCGGCGTTCGGTTTCTGAGACAGCGAGAACAAGCGCTGGGACTTGCTTGTTTGCCCGTTTAATTGGCCCTTCGATTTCGTTTCGTGGCCAGCAAACCTCTTGCAACTCTTGACGTTTATGTACCTAGGATTGCTTTTATGCCATGCCAGGGTTGCTCCCTGTGTGCGGCTGTGCATATTAGAGCTAACCATTCACATACTGACTAGTTCAGAGGTTAGGATACAGCTATAGGACATGTGTACATATGTTCTTTTGTTACCACCTCTGTAACAATGTTTAAGACCCTGTGTTTCAACTAGTGTGAGCTGCATGGGCTTAGGGGGCTGTTGAGGAGATGTACACAGGAGGTTTGCTCACACAGAGAACGTCCTCAGAACAAAACTCCCCCAACCAGGGGCCACTGGTTGCCTGCCCTGCAGGTGCCAAGCTGGAGTTACAGTACACGGCATGACAGGATGATGCTACTTTCTTTCGAGCCCTTTTCCAGCTATTCCTGGAACATGCTGAGGGCTGAAACAAGCTTGTCACAGCATAATGTTAGGAATTAATACTCATGTTGGTTCTCCTGTCCTGCTTTCTTTGGACTGCCAAGACTGCTGCCTTGCGAGAATCTCAGAAATCTCTTCACCCACTCCCCCATCCTTCTCCCCTCGCTCTCCCCACTTCCCGCCCCTCTCCCCTTCTCTCCCTACCAAGCCCCTCAGCTTGAGTGCATTCGCTCTCAAAATCGCCACGTAAGCCTCCTCCCTGACACGTGGCAGCGTCTCATTGGCCAGTGCCATCTCCTCTCCCCCTTCAGCCGCCGCCCGGATGAAGGGCTCGAGGGCTTTAAGCACCAGCAACTGCACGTCCTCATCGGACAAATCAGAGGGCGACATCTGGCGCAGCGCAGCGCAAGCAGCATCCTCGTCCTCTGCTGTTATGGCAGTTCGAAAGAGGCTGGGGGGGGGGGGGGATGAAGAGTTCATGGGAAACATGTGTGGCTTGCAGATGCTTAGAAGACGAGATTTGAAAGGAAAGGCGCCAGTTCCTTAGCATCCCAATGCCACAATCTGAAATGGGGGGGAGGTGGGCGCAATGCATTTCTACATTGACGTTCACACGAGCCTTCAAAAGCACCAGAACGCACCGGAAGAGAGTGAAGACGGTGGGCGGCAGGTCATTGCGGTCCATGTCGTCCATTACATGGAGCGCGCGAGGCAGGTCGCCCATGGCCGCACATGAGTCTAACAATGCCTCTAATACCATGCGCGATGCATGCACTCCCACCTGCAAGCACACACACACACACACACACACACACACACACACACACACACACACACACACACACACACACACACACACACACACACGCATGCACGCACGCACGCACGCACGCACGCACGCACGCACGCACGCACGCACGCACGCACGCGCGCGCGCGCGCGCGCGCACACACACACACAATCAAAAGAATAGTAAACAGAACATGTTTGGGCATTTGCAGCATTTAGGGCATCCCCGGCAGACAGGGAGGGGCGGAGGAGCAAAGGCGGGACATTCGCAGAGTACTGGGAGGACCGAGTGGAGGACGGGAGGAGGGGAGGAGGTGAGGAGGAGGAGGGGAGGAGGGGAGGAGGAGGAGAGTGGAAGTGGCGACTCACTGTGCGCAGGGCTTGGAACATGCGGAGTGCCTCTCGAACCCCGATCAAACACACCCCCCTCTCGTCCGGTAAGCCCCTGGCCACTGGCAGTAGCACCTGCCCGGGTGATGGGCGAGAGGTAGGGAGGTATTGGAGGGAGATGGTGAGTGGCAGTATGAGAGATAGAGAGCAGCTAAAAGGGGGAGCATGTGAGAAAAACGAGTGAGGGAAGGTGTGAGAGAGAGCGAGTGAGGCAGCGGGAGAGAGAGAGAGCGAGAAGGGGGAAGGGAGATTGCACGAGCAACAGTTTGTGAGGACCCAAAACCCACGGGACAATCAACGTGCGACCAACTGCTCGAGCAGAAACACATATTCCCTTTGTAATTCGAGTCCATTCTAGGGTTGAGTTGAAAAGCACCCCACCTGGTCGAATATCTGCTGGCGGTTGAGCTGAGGGTCATCTTTGATCTCCTCTGCTACCTCCAGTATGCGCCTGCTCACAGAAAGAGGGGTCAAAGATGAGTAGGCGCTCTAAGAGCATGGAGCTTTTGAGAATTCTCAGAAGCAGAGCGCCATGCTCTTAAAGCACCGCGCCTCACGGCGGTCAGCGAAAAAGCGCATGGCGTCTTGCAATGGGCACACTCGAGAAGCACAGTGGGTGAGAGGACAGGGAGGGAGCATGGGTGATGGTGAGTGGGAGGGAGGGCGAGGGGTAGGGAGGGAGGGCTGGAGGGAGGCAGTGCAGGCAGGGGCCATACTGCACGGCATACAGCTGCACGAGGCACGCCAGGGTCTGCAGCAGCAGCGCATGCTGTGGCAAGGAGGGAGGAAGAGAGGAGAGGAGGAATGGAGAGAGGGATGGAAGGAGGAATGGAGAGAGGGATGGAAGGACGAATGGAGAGAGGGATGGAAGGAGGCAGCGAGGGCAGGCAGGGGGGACGTACTGCACGTCGTGGAGCTGCACGAGGCACGCCAGCGTCTGCACCACCAGCGCATGCCCACTCCGCATCTCCTGCTGCCACGTCACACCCTCCCACTGCCTCCCCCCCTCACCCCGTTCCCCATCCCCCCCATGCTCTCTGCTTCTCCACTCCTCATTTTTCTTCTCCCCTTTTTGCGCCCCCCGCACCCCTCTGCGAGTCTCTCGAAACAGCGCCATCATGTCGTCCACCATGGCGGCGCGCCCGAGAGCCATAATCATGGTCCCCACAGCGTACGGCAGGGGCTGCACGCCCTCCGCTCGCCCCTTACGGAACGCTGCTAGGGCTGCCTCTGTGCGCCCCGCTGCTGCTAGCGCCTCCACTAGAGCGCTCACTGCATTGGCGCCCACCTTGTGCCCTGCCGCCTCTGCTGCTGCTAGGTACTGGTGGGGTGGAGAGGGTGGGAAGGGGTTGGAGCGGATAGGAACAAGGGAGGAGATGCAGAGTGGTTATAGCTATTGCAGCAAAAGATGAGGACAGCTCATACCACTCTCCACCCTTCCCCCATCCGTTCCTACCCCCATGGCCCCATTCACATCCCCCGTCTTGTGATACAACTAAACCATAGCGGCGTGCAGATAGAAATTGGGGGGCGCGCCGTGCTGCTGCATCATCGCATTGCCATGGCGCGGTTGCAGGCGTGGACAGTAGACAGTGCCAGCACAGACCCACACAACCAACTCATGTTACTCTACACCCCTCCTATCTTATGATACATCTCTACCATAGCTGCATGCAGATAGCTGCAGTCCCGGCTCGGGGACTGGAGCTGCAGTCCCAGCTTGGGGACTGGAGCTGCAGTCCCGGCTTTGGGACTGGAGCTGCAGTCACGGCTTTGGGACTGGAGCTGCAGTCCCAGCTTGGGGACTGGAGCTGCAGTCCCGGCTTTGGGACTGGAGTTGCAGTCCCAGCTTTGGGACTGGAGCTGCAGTTCCGGCTTTAGGACTGGAGCTGCAGTCCCAGCTTGGGGACTGGAGCTGCAGTCCCGGCTTTGGGACTGGAGCTGCAGTCACGGCTTTGGGACTGGAGCTGCAGTCCCAGCTTGGGGACTGGAGCTGCAGTCCCGGCTTTGGGACTGGAGTTGCAGTCCCAGCTTTGGGACTGGAGCTGCAGTTCCGGCTTTAGGACTGGAGCTGCAGTCCCAGCTTGGGGACTGGAGCTGCAGTCCCGGCTTTGGGACTGGAGCTGCAGTCACGGCTTTGGGACTGGAGCTGCAGTCCCAGCTTGGGGACTGGAGCTGCAGTCCCAGCTTGGGGACTGGAGCTGCAGTCCCAGCTTGGGGACTGGAGCTGCAGTCCCAGCTTGGGGACTGGAGCTGCAGTCCCGGCTTTAGGACTGGAGCTGCAGTCCCAGCTTGGGGACTGGAGCTGCAGTCCCGGCTCTGGGACTGGGGCTGCAGTCCCGGCTCGGGGACTGGAGCTGCAGTCCCAGCTTGGGGACTGGAGCTGCAGTCCCAGCTTGGGGACTGGAGCTGCAGTCCCAGCTTGGGGACTGGAGCTGCAGTCCCAGCTTGGGGACTGGAGCTGCAGTCCCGACTCTGGGACTGGGGCTGCAGTCCCGGCTCGGGGACTGGAGCTGCAGTCCTGGCTTTGGGACTGGAGCTGCAGTCCCAGCTTGGGGACTGGAGCTGCAGTCCCGGCTTTGGGACTGGAGCTGCAGTCCTGGCTTGGGTTGGGGACTGGAGCTGTAGTTCAGGCTCGGGGACTCCAGCTGCAGTCCCAGCTTGGGGACTGGAGCTGCAGTCCCAGCTTGGGGACTGGAGCTGCAGTCCCAGCTTGGGGACTGGAGCTGCAGTCCCAGCTTGGGGACTGGAGCTGCAGTCCCAGCTTGGGGACTGGAGCTGCAGTCCCAGCTTGGGGACTGGAGCTGCAGTCCCAGCTTGGGGACTGGAGCTGCAGTCCCAGCTTGGGGACTGGAGCTGCAGTCCCAGCTTGGGGACTGGAGCTGCAGTCCCAGCTTGGGGACTGGAGCTGCAGTCCTGGCTTCGGGACTGGAGCTGCAGTCCCGGCATTAGGACTGGAGCTGCAGTCCCAGCTTGGGGACTGGAGCTGCAGTCCCGGCTTTGGGACTGGAGCTGTAGTCCCGGCTTTGGGACTGGAGCTGCAGTCCCAGCTTGGGGACTGGAGCTGCAGTCCCAGCTTGGGGACTGGAGCTGCAGTCCCGGCTTTGGGACTGGAGCTGCAGTCCTGGCTTCGGGACTGGAGCTGCAGTCCCGGCATTAGGACTGGAGCTGCAGTCCCAGCTTGGGGACTGGAGCTGCAGTCCCGGCTTTGGGACTGGAGCTGCAGTCCTGGCTTGGGTTGGGGACTGGAGCTGCAGTTCCGGGCAGCTTGGGGACTGGAGCTGCAGTCCCAGCTTGGGGACTGGAGCTGCAGTCCCAGCTTGGGGACTGGAGCTGCAGTCCCAGCTTGGGGACTGGAGCTGCAGTCCCAGCTTGGGGACTGGAGCTGCAGTCCCGGCTTTAGGACTGGAGCTGCAGTCCCAGCTTGGGGACTGGAGCTGCAGTCCCAGCTTGGGGACTGGAGCTGCAGTCCCAGCTTGGGGACTGGAGCTGCAGTCCCAGCTTGGGGACTGGAGCTGCAGTCCCAGCTTGGGGACTGGAGCTGCAGTCCCGGCTTCGGGACTGGAGCTGCAGTCCCGGCATTAGGACTGGAGCTGCAGTCCCAGCTTGGGGACTGGAGCTGCAGTCCCAGCTTGGGGACTGGAGCTGCAGTCCCAGCTTGGGGACTGGAGCTGCAGTCCCAGCTTGGGGACTGGAGCTGCAGTCCCAGCTTGGGGACTGGAGCTGCAGTCCCAGCTTGGGGACTGGAGCTGCAGTCCCAGCTTGGGGACTGGAGCTGCAGTCCCAGCTTGGGGACTGGAGCTGCAGTCCCAGCTTGGGGACTGGAGCTGCAGTCCCAGCTTGGGGACTGGAGCTGCAGTCCCAGCTTGGGGACTGGAGCTGCAGTCCCAGCTTGGGGACTGGAGCTGCAGTCCCAGCTTGGGGACTGGAGCTGCAGTCCCAGCTTGGGGACTGGAGCTGCAGTCCCAGCTTGGGGACTGGAGCTGCAGTCCCAGCTTGGGGACTGGAGCTGCAGTCCCAGCTTGGGGACTGGAGCTGCAGTCCCGGCTTTGGGACTGGAGCTGCAGTCCCGGATTTGGGACTGGAGCTGCAGTCCCGGCTTCGGGACTGGAGCTGCAGCCCCGGCTTTGGGACTGGAGCTGCAGCCCCGGCTTTGGGACTGGAGCTGCAGTCCCAGCTTGGGGACTGGAGCTGCAGTCCCAGCTTGGGGACTGGAGCTGCAGTCCCAGCTTGGGGACTGGAGCTGCAGTCCCAGCTTGGGGACTGGAGCTGCAGTCCCAGCTTGGGGACTGGAGCTGCAGTCCCAGCTTGGGGACTGGAGCTGCAGTCCCAGCTTGGGGACTGGAGCTGCAGTCCCAGCTTGGGGACTGGAGCTGCAGTCCCAGCTTGGGGACTGGAGCTGCAGTCCCAGCTTGGGGACTGGAGCTGCAGTCCCAGCTTGGGGACTGGAGCTGCAGTCCCAGCTTGGGGACTGGAGCTGCAGTCCCAGCTTGGGGACTGGAGCTGCAGTCCCGGCTTTGGGACTGGAGCTGCAGTCCCGGCATTGGGACTGGAGCTGCAGTCCCAGCTTGGGGACTGGAGCTGCAGTCCCAGCTTGGGGACTGGAGCTGCAGTCCCAGCTTGGGGACTGGAGCTGCAGTCCCAGCTTGGGGACTGGAGCTGCAGTCCCAGCTTGGGGACTGGAGCTGCAGTCCCAGCTTGGGGACTGGAGCTGCAGTCCCAGCTTGGGGACTGGAGCTGCAGTCCCAGCTTGGGGACTGGAGCTGCAGTCCCAGCTTGGGGACTGGAGCTGCAGTCCCAGCTTGGGGACTGGAGCTGCAGTCCCAGCTTGGGGACTGGAGCTGCAGTCCCAGCTTGGGGACTGGAGCTGCAGTCCCAGCTTGGGGACTGGAGCTGCAGTCCCAGCTTGGGGACTGGAGCTGCAGTCCCAGCTTGGGGACTGGAGCTGCAGTCCCAGCTTGGGGACTGGAGCTGCAGTCCCAGCTTGGGGACTGGAGCTGCAGTCCCAGCTTGGGGACTGGAGCTGCAGTCCCAGCTTGGGGACTGGAGCTGCAGTCCCAGCTTGGGGACTGGAGCTGCAGTCCCAGCTTGGGGACTGGAGCTGCAGTCCCAGCTTGGGGACTGGAGCTGCAGTCCCGGCTTAAGGACTGGAGCTGCAGTCCCGGCTTTGGGACTGGAGCTGCGGTCCCGGCTTTGGGACTGGAGCTGCGGTCCCGGCTTGGGGACTGGAGCTGCAGTCCCAGCTTGGGGACTGGAGCTGCAGTCCCAGCTTGGGGACTGGAGCTGCAGTCCCAGCTTGGGGACTGGAGCTGCAGTCCCAGCTTGGGGACTGGAGCTGCAGTCCCAGCTTGGGGACTGGAGCTGCAGTCCCAGCTTGGGGACTGGAGCTGCAGTCCCAGCTTGGGGACTGGAGCTGCAGTCCCAGCTTGGGGACTGGAGCTGCAGTCCCAGCTTGGGGACTGGAGCTGCAGTCCCAGCTTGGGGACTGGAGCTGCAGTCCCAGCTTGGGGACTGGAGCTGCAGTCCCAGCTTGGGGACTGGAGCTGCAGTCCCAGCTTGGGGACTGGAGCTGCAGTCCCGGCTTTGGGACTGGAGCTGCAGTCCTGGCTTGGGTTGGGGACTGGAGCTGCAGTTCCGGGCAGCTTGGGGACTGGAGCTGCAGTCCCAGCTTGGGGACTGGAGCTGCAGTCCCAGCTTGGGGACTGGAGCTGCAGTCCCAGCTTGGGGACTGGAGCTGCAGTCCCAGCTTGGGGACTGGAGCTGCAGTCCCGGCTTTAGGACTGGAGCTGCAGTCCCAGCTTGGGGACTGGAGCTGCAGTCCCAGCTTGGGGACTGGAGCTGCAGTCCCAGCTTGGGGACTGGAGCTGCAGTCCCAGCTTGGGGACTGGAGCTGCAGTCCCAGCTTGGGGACTGGAGCTGCAGTCCCGGCTTCGGGACTGGAGCTGCAGTCCCGGCATTAGGACTGGAGCTGCAGTCCCAGCTTGGGGACTGGAGCTGCAGTCCCAGCTTGGGGACTGGAGCTGCAGTCCCAGCTTGGGGACTGGAGCTGCAGTCCCAGCTTGGGGACTGGAGCTGCAGTCCCAGCTTGGGGACTGGAGCTGCAGTCCCAGCTTGGGGACTGGAGCTGCAGTCCCAGCTTGGGGACTGGAGCTGCAGTCCCAGCTTGGGGACTGGAGCTGCAGTCCCGGCTTCGGGACTGGAGCTGCAGTCCCGGCATTAGGACTGGAGCTGCAGTCCCAGCTTGGGGACTGGAGCTGCAGTCCCAGCTTGGGGACTGGAGCTGCAGTCCCAGCTTGGGGACTGGAGCTGCAGTCCCAGCTTGGGGACTGGAGCTGCAGTCCCAGCTTGGGGACTGGAGCTGCAGTCCCAGCTTGGGGACTGGAGCTGCAGTCCCAGCTTGGGGACTGGAGCTGCAGTCCCGGCTTTGGGACTGGAGCTGCAGTCCC